TAAATGAGATTTTTCATATTTTAATTAAACATTAAAAAAATATACGTAGAATTTCTGTATGAAAAAAACATAATAGTATTAAAAAAAGCTTATATTTCCTATGGATTATTGTAATTTTATTTTAATTGATATAATCCGAAGCTAGAGCATATCATAAAATATTTAATAATATTTTTCAATTAATAAATAATTATTTACATTTTTAGATGAGCTGTTTTATACTTACGATTGCAAATACTTATCTTCAATATTTTATAATAAAACAAAATTAATTGTTATTTAAATGCAAACAAACCAATGACTACATAAAAATATGTACACAATATAAAATACAATCGAATATAATATGTTATAAGGTAAAAGTTTAAAGTATTCAGTAATTTTAAAAATATACAATGAGTCTTGAATTATAAATTAATAGAGAGTATTTTATTTTAACTTTTATTTTTTTTTTTAGAGTCCAGCACTCTGTTAATTTTTTTTAAATTAAGTCACATAAAAATAGTTTGTTGCATAATTCACTTCTTATAAAAATTATGATATTATCATTTATATAAAATATAAACATATATACATTTATAGTTATAATTCAGAATATATCAAATAATAATAAAATAAAAATATTATAAAGTGAAATAAGAATTAAAATAAAAACTAATTTAAAAGCTAATCAAGAAAAAACTGTATTTTCACATATCTTAGACTAAGAATTTAAAACAAATATTTATTAATTTAAGTTTATAAAAATACATAACAATAACTTTTTTTGAAATATTCGAATATCTATTCTTAAAAACTATTTTCAAATTGTTTTAAATATGTGTGGTTAAATTAACTTTGATTCTTTTTTTGTTGTTATATTTAGTATTATTTTTATATTATTCTTATGTTTTTGTAAGTTTTAGATTAATAGTATTACAAAAGTCAATTTATTTGTATTTTTTATGCTTTTTAGTAATATGATTAACAACAGAATATTTTTGAAGACCAATATATTTTTAAAATGTTTATTGCTTTTCTTTATAATATATTTATCATGATTCATGACGATGGTTCTAATCGTTCGTAAAACCCATAGTAATTAAATCAGCAATAGGAATAGTCATTGTGGAGCTTAACTAATGATTATTTACTGCACGTATAAATATGGATTTCACAGACACATAATAAAAAAAGATCTCTATTTAACTCCTTTAAAACTAACATGTATTGAAGGATCCTTTAACAGTAAATATCTTAAAGTAACTCTAACTCAATTTTTTCTATATATTATATAAACCTTATTTATAAGACTACAGTATTAAGCAGGCCTCTTATGATACTTGAGGTTTTGAATTGCTAGAATCTATTTCTCAAGAAGTTTGAAATATCGATGACGATAAGAATTCGTACTTGTTTTTGTAGCTATTAATATAATAATAAGTATATTCATGAATGAAAATATTAGCATTATTAATAGGTAATATTTATCGTTATTATTATTATTTTATTTTTATTTTCTAATAACTTACAAGTTATTATACAATAATTTTTTATAACGTGGATCTTAAAAATAAATGTTATCGGTTTTTATACATACACAATACACTAAATCATTTAAAAAAAAGTATAAATGAGTACTTAAATACTTGCATCATGAAATATAACTTAAAATATTCAATTAACTTACGTTTTATAATTAAAATAATATTTAACTTGAAACGTTTTACTCTTAATTCGTATTTATAATAATGAAATACTACATATTTTATATATATCAGATAAACAGCCACGTAATTTTTGTGTAACTAATCAGTCCTAATTCAGTTTGACGAACTTTTTAGAATGATTTATAGCATTCTACATTTATGAGTATCATATTTTTAATTGCAAGATATCAGCAAAATTAAATTATTGAGATTAGTTTCATATATGTTTAGAATACATTTATTAAGCCATAAATAATATAAGTAAATGTGAAAATCATACATTTTATAAAACAAATCATTTTATTTTTTGAACAATTGGTATCTAAAACAAAATAATATTATTCATTGCATTTTACTTAATTCAAATTATTCATTTTTGACATAGAAATGGTCAATTTAAAACGTTTTATTTAAAATTTTATTACAAGAAAATAACCATATTTTAGTCAGATCATTTTTATAAAATATAACTTTATTAAATACTTATCATTATATATGTATAAAAAAATACATCACCATCTTTATAAAATCTTTATTATACCGAAATTAATTAATCAATGAAAATAAATTGATTAAATTTAATTTAAATTTAAAAAAAGATATTTTACCACCTTTTTTTGTTTTCGTTTGATTGCACGCAAAAAAAGAAATTAATATTATTTTTGTTTTATTTTCATGACTACTAATTAAAAAAGTACAATAACATGTTTATAGCATATATTTTTAATTTTACAAAATATATGTGTAAAAATAATTAAGTAGGTTATGTCAAAACATTCAAATAAACATATTTTAAGTGTTGAATTTTTTTTATAACTGTATTCAAATTCTTACCCAAAAATATGCATGAATTATCTAATACTTTAAATATTAAATTACATTTTTTAGTCAATATACTTTAATCCAAAAAACAACCAAATCCCACAGATATAAATATTTGTTCATCCATATCTAATTAATATTTTATTTCTATTATACTATTGAAATTATATAACAAATAAAATATTTATCAATATTTTGATTCATGTGCAAAATAAAAATTTAAATTCGTCATTTAGTGACATTATATAAACATTTCTGAATTGACATCATAGACAAACTATTTTAAAAGTGTAAACCCAAATCGATTTTTTAGAAAAAAAAATGCAGAAACATTCTAAAAAATGAAAAACACTTGAGAAAACCCATCATACCTTAGAAAAACAAATCGAAATAACTTTGAATAAAATCCCTTGAGACACAAATTTGTATGGTGCAGTTTTGTTAGAAATATTGTCGTATTAAAAGTATATTCTATATTTTATTCATAACTTTCAAAAGAAAATAAGGTAAAATGCTAATTTTAGTTTTGACAGTTTTAAATTATCCTAAATATGCTCAACAAATCACAGCTAAATAATAAGAGTAGTTTGTTTGTGCAAATTTAAATTAAAGAATAATTTGGATAAATAAACCAAGATCATACATATTATATTATCATATTATAATATAATATCTGATTAAATTATACATTTTAACACATAATTTTAATGGTACGTTGATCTCAGTGGCAGAACTAGATTCTTGGAGGCCTGTGTAAAAAATTTTCGTGGCGAATTTCTAAGACAGAATTTTAAAAAAAACCTAAGAATTTTGTTTTTTTCACGTAACATCTTTATTCTTTAATAAACATATTTATATATATATATTATATATTATTATTATTAATAATATATTTATAAGTAGGTAAATATTGAAATTAAGTTGTGAGTATTTATTTTCGGCTTTGGTTTTATGCAATAGTATTAATCAATGCCAACATTTTTGATTTTTTTGCACGTTCATTTTCAATATATATCATGGTATTCAGTATATCATGGCTAAACTACTTAGACGTGTTTGATGAGACATAGTGTTTCTGAGGTAGCTTTTTATTGAGCTTTGAAAACGATTTCTCAGCACTGACTACAGTTACTGGTAAAGTGAAAAATTAATAAAATGCCTTTAATAATTTCAGTAATTATTTTCAATGACTAACAATTTAGTTTTATTAAAAATATTGGATAATGTTTCGAGCTCAAAAGCAAATAATGTACTAAAAGATTCGATTTTATTGGTTAATTCTGCCGAATTAAATATCAGCAGGATACAAGTTACAACCGATAATTTATTTGCGTGATAAAATTATTATTCTGCATTAGTATAGTTATAACTCCTTTTTTTTCTAGAATATTTTATTTAAAATGAATAAATGCATAAATACCTACCTATCTTCATATTATACTAAGATCTAATAGCTAATTGATTATGGTAGATTATTATTATTCTAAACTTCCATAATTAACTATGTAATGGTTTACTTACAAAAATAAATGGAAAGCTAAAACCTAAAAATAAAAATTTATGAGATTTTTAGTTAATTTTTTTAAATTTTAATGTTCATAATTTTCTAAGTTAAATTGTTTGAGGCCTCTCTTATGCCGAGGCCCGTGTGAAATCACACATTTATCTATATATAGCTCCGCCACTGGTTGATCTGTATTTTAAGATTTTAATAGATTATATTTTTGTTTTCTACATAGTAATTATTATGTTTTAAATTGCCATAAATTCAAAATTCACGTCAAGTTAAATTTGTTTAAAAAAAAATAGTTGCATTTCAAAACTTTTATAAATTAATATTATAAGTTTAATAATCTAATTACAAAACGTTCCAATTATACTCTAATAAAAAATGAATAGTTATTTTAGTATTTACAAGATAATATTAAATTATATTCAACTAAAAATCATGATTTTACTTAGAAGTAAGTTTTTTTGAGAATATTTAAACTAAAAATTCTTTTGTAATATTTATGCCTCTAGAAAAATATACAACAGCACTTCTCACTATTTTTTGTTACTTATAAATGGTGAATATCTTGACACGTGGTGAAAAAATCGGTTTAATTTTAAGTGGTCTTCACTCAATGAATGCTATTCATTTACCTTTGTTCTGTTTACAAGGGCTACTGTATGGATGTTTTATAAAAAAAATAAAATATAACGAACACAATGTGTCTTGCAAATAAAAAAGTTTTCAATAAAAAATAACTGTTATACGAGTATGTTATTGTTCACAGGAAGTATTAAGTTTTCCGTTTGTGGTAAAATTATACTCAAAATACACTTAATAATATTTGAGAAGTTTTTTCGAAAAAAATATAATTTAAAATTATATGTTTTACTGAAACTATAATAAATAAATATTCATCAATATCATTTTAAACTTGGCAATCAATAATATTGTTTATTAAGTTATCGGATTGAATGGATTTACATTTCTTATTTTAGGTTTTTGAGCGTAAAAAAATGGCTATTGCGCAAAAAACACCAAATCGAGCTTGCCAGAAAAAGAGGTTGGAAAGGTTATTGGGTGTGTCTCAAGGGTACAACGTTACTCTTTTACCCATGCGATTCCAGAGAAGGACGGAGTGTAGAAGCTGCACCAAAACACCTTATTATCGTCGATGGAGCAATTATGCAACCTATCCCAGAACATCCAAAGAGAGATTATATTTTCTGCTTGAGTACAGCTTTTGGAGACGCCTACCTGTTTCAGGTATGCCATTCTAAGTAGCATTATTACTAATGTATAACAACTATTGAAAAAATATATACATATAATTTGTATTAATCTATATTTTAGTAAATACTATGTTATACATTTTAGCAGGAAGAAAAAATATTAATTTTCTGGAAGTATAAAATAGTTGATCGATGTAATCAAAAGTTTAGAAACTCAGTTGGTTAGTTTGATCTGATCTCCTATGTTTGTTTTAAATTAGATACAACATTTTTTTTAATCATAATTGCACAAGACAACATAGACATGACTAGAATTTATTCGTTGAAATTGACATAGATTATGGGTTTTTACACTATTAGTACACTTGAACTGTATGCTTGTTACTTAAAATATAACTATGGCAAATATTTTATGTTAATACTACATATCATATTAACACAGATGTTTGTTATCGCAAATGTTGATATTCACTGCTAAAAATATAACAGTATATAGAATTATAGAGTATTTTGACGGTTCAATATGAATATATCTATCAATAAATTAACAAACGGCTCACTGAAAGTAACAAAGATGTATTATGGTGCGATCCCACGGCGCGAGGCGCGTGATTCACCTGTGTGACCACGGCACCGCACTTGCCCACACCACGCGCGTACGTTACACAATCTCACGGCACGTTTCTCGGCGCAATTTCCGATCGTTTATCACGAACCACATGATCCTTTGGCGCGTGTCACAGATACCGACAACCGTCGGGAAAGAACGCGCCGGGCAACACCTATACCACAGCGCCGTGTATCGTACCGTATTGTACGCCGTGGGATCGCATCTTTTTTTTTGATTTTGTTTACATCAAATGAACTGTCTTATTTTTCAGGCCCCTTGTCAAGTAGAGTTGGAAAATTGGGTGAACAGTATCCACTCAGCATGTGGGGCAGCATTTGCTAGGCACAGAGGGAAAATTGGTACACTTCATTTGTTACAAGAGGAAATTTATAGAATCGAAAAGCAAATAGAAGCGGTGAGAATTCCTGAACTATTTACTTTAACTTCATGAACAACATCTGTTTATTATCAATTTGTTTTCTATAAATCCATTTTACATACTTCGACCATGAAAATTATATCATCATTTAAATTATTTGAATTGTGTAATTGGAATACAATTCACCTGGCTAATATATGTATAAAATAATTAAATTCTAATGATTCAAACCAATATATTAATATCGAGAGCAAAACATATATATTAATATATAATATAGTCGCTTTAATAATAATAATTAAGTAATAATCGTGTTTCGCTATACAATTATCATTGAAATTTGAACCGCATAATTATCTGTCTGAAAACCCAAACAATGTTATAACTTAAATATTGAACTAATGGATGTAAAATCAATATATTTTTTAGTTGTTAATGCCAAATGAATTATAATATTTTTTCTAATCTTGTCATTTTTGCATTAAATATAAAATTAAAATGTTATATGACTTGTAATATTTATGTACTTGCTATTCATTATTGTAAAAGTATTTTATTTACGTGATTTTTCAATGGCCTTCATTTCGTTTAACATTATTAACAGGTGTGGTATTCACATAAATATTGCATAAACGACAAACATATGTTTACTATATGCGTGCTTAAATATTTTTATTATTATTTGTAAACTTGTGTGTGTACAAGTGTGTTTTTTTTTTATCAGTTTTAGATTAGAGTTATACGAATACTATATTCAACGTTTTTATTTAACAGTATGCAAATTTTAACTAAAAATATTGTATATTTTATCAAATAGAAAATTTAGTTTGAATCAGATATTCACTTAAAAATTGTAATAATTTCAATATTTATGTGAACTTTTACAGGACCAAAAACTTAAACATATGGCTGAAGAACAAGTAGAAATGCTTACCGATCCAGATACAAAAGAACAAATAAAAAAACAAATTTTAGCTTGGGAAGAAAATTTAGAAAGATTACATTGCGAACAGTTCCGACTCAAATGTTATATGGCCAGTTTACAAAATGGTGAACTACCAAATCCAAAGGTACCTACTAATTTTACTGAATTTACTGCACTCGTTATATTAATGAAGTTCAAACCTAATTATTTACAAATTTTAACTTACAAATACTTACTAACTATTTAATTACAAAAGTTTTAATTATAAATTAAAAATTATAGATTCTTTTAACACGTGTGTCCCGAGCAACGAAAATTACACTGAACAAATTAGGCGTATTTACTGTATCTTCACTACATGCATTTATATGTGCTCGTTCTCCGTCATTGCTCAACAATCTTTTGGCTGGACGTGGTGCGACAAAAAGAAAAGCTCCTGTCTTATCTCGTTCAAACAGTGGTTCAGGTAGAAGGTCATTGCAATCATCAACATCAAGAGATGATCCAGAAAAAACAGTAAAAGTATCCCTGCCTGATAATCAAGTAAGTAATTTTACAAAATATTTAGGTGCATATAAGTAACAAAAATTATTTCCAACACTTTATATTCTCAAATAAATTGAATATTTCAGTGTTATAATATTTTATTTTAATTTTGGAATACGCATTTAAACATTTTAACATAATTTCATAAAATTGAATTGAAATTTAGAAGTATTTTCAGTTAAAACCAAATTAATACTGGTATTTTCCATTTTGTGATTCTGGTTTAACATAAAATCCGGGATTAGTAATTACAACGGTAAAATATTTTTAATTATTCACGGAAATTATTAATTATTTGGTACTTTCTGTGATAAATTGTAACCCAAATAATATTTTTTCTATGTTCAATTTAGTTACCAGTTTTTTTGTATTTTTTGTAATATTTATATATTACGAATTAAATACTGTATTTATTTTATAATTGTATTGTAGATTGTAGAGAAATTCAAATATAAGTAGTATTAAAATAACACAGAATAATAACCATAAGTAAATCAATTCGATCATTTAGTGATAATACCGAATATTTAGTTAGTTGTGTATAACCAAATTTTTTAAATACCTACCTTACACCAGTATCTAAATTTCATTTACTGCCAATTTTGTAAAACTAAAAATTATTAATTATATGAATATTGTTGTCATAATAATGATAAATATGGGTATGAAGTTAAAGCTAATTGATTAATGATATTGATTGTTGGGTATTATAAAGAAATATATAGATAATCTATTATTTTAATGGCTTAACTTAATAATGTTTACAATTCATTTTATAGTCCGTACAAATTTATTTACGGGAAGGAATGACTGTGGACGAATATTTAGCATTATCTTGTTCGAGAAAAGGACTTAATCCGATGGAGCATTTTGTCAGGGTAAAAAAGAGAAGAGATATGGAAGATCACAATTATTTTGTTCCTCATCGAACTGACAGTATTGAAACTTATGTAAGAATTATATTCAATCTTAATTGAAAATATATCATAATCACCAAATATGTTAAATTATGTTTTTTTAATTCTTATATAGTTACATACACATGAAGTTGTTGAAGTTCGGGCCAAAATTCTTTACCAAGTAGAGCTTGAAAGAAATACATTAGATCATATGTGGGGATTTTCAGTAGAAGCAGAACTCATTGAAAATGCTGAAAGACAAGATGAGCTCTGTTGTTATGTGAGCAGAGTTGAAGACAAAGGAATTGCAATTCAAAACGGTAATAAATAGTTTGGTTTTTGAGAAATAAAATATACAGTCTTAGTTCATCTAGATAATACAAAATTGAATTTTTTTTATAACTATTTAATTTACAATACATACTTATAAAATAATTTGTTGGTTATAGGCTTAATTAAAGGTGATGAAATAATGGTAATAAATAGTGCCATCGTGAGTGATTTAGACATGATGTACTTGGAATCAGCTCTCCAAGAAGAACTTTCTTTGAGTATGATGATGAGATCTTCCAGAACTGAACCTCCTCAGTTACCTTCTGGCTCTAGAATTATATCAAAGACTACTGATGATATAATTCAATCTTTAGTTTGTCCTCCGCCACCTACAGATCCACCAGTAATTTCAGAAGAAATGATATCTGGATTAATTGTGCCGGCTCCAGGGTGGAGTAAGTTAATTAAGTCTGTTATAATAAACGCTATGAAAAAATAAAATAAATAAATATATAAATTCATTAGACAGGGAAGGAATTTATGAATTGGAAACTAACAATATGTCACAAGATTCAAAACTTGCTTCCAGAGGAAATTCTTTTGAAATTGAAAATTTAATTAAGGTGTGTGTTATTTTTCATTAAATGTGTATTTTTTATAGATTAGTTGTTGATTAAAATTGTATAACATTTATTTTTATTTTAGAGTGCTGGTGAAGTAACCGGATTCTGTAGATCACCAGAGCCAGCGAGAAGATCTAGCCCTACCGTAATGTCTGTTATACAAAATCCTCCATTAACTATTGGTCGACAATTGACGGATGCCGAAAAACTTAGAAAAGTAATTTCTGAACTTATAGATACCGAAAAGTCATATATTAAGGTTGGTATATTTTATTCAAATATTTTAATTATATATACTATATAAATTTCACATAAAATACAATATTTTACAGCACTTAAACAATCTACTAGAAAATTATTTAGAACCACTTAGACAAGAAACATTTTTAACTGGAGCAGAAATAGCCGTTCTGTTTGGTAATATCCAAGAAATTGTTCAGTTTCAACATCAATTCTTACAAAATTTAGAAGAAGCCTTGCATCAAGAACCTAATTTCCATAAATTTGATCAACCAGAACAATTCAAAGTAAAATTATCAAAATACCTAAAAACATTTATTCTTTAATAAATATTAATCACAAAATAACAATTTTAATATTGCAGAATATACTTTTTTCCATTGGTAGTGCCTTTTTATATTATGTGAATCATTTTAAATTATACAGTTCATTCTGTGCAAGCCACTCTAAAGCTCAAAAAATACTTAATCCAAGTAAATGTTTATAATTTGAACATCAATGAACATAAGTCTAATTAATTTGATGTTTTAGATGAAGGCAATCAAGCTTTACAAGAATTTTTATGTTCGAGAAACCCTAGACAGCAACATTCTTGTTCATTAGAATCGTATTTAATCAAACCTATACAAAGGATATTAAAATATCCTCTTTTACTACAACAGCTAAGAAATCTAACTGATCCTCATTCAGATCAACATCTGCATCTTGTTGGTACGTTGTTGTACTAGTTCTAAAAGTTGAAAATAAATTTTCATTTTATATAAAAAACTAAAACTTTACATTGGCTTGTACATTTTAGAAGCACTTAAGGGAATGGAAAATGTCGCTGAACATATCAACGAAATGCAAAGAATACATGAAGAATATGGGGCTATTTTCGATCACTTATTTAGACAACATCAAAAATCTTGTAAACAAGTAAGTCATTATTTTTTATATACATATATAATATATATAACTTAAAAATGTTGATGGTTATTTTTTTATAAATATTAATTGTTTTACAGTCTATTGATTTGTCACCCGGTGATTTGTTGTATTACGGAGGAGTTGAATGGTTGAATATATCCGATTTCCTCGGCAAAATAAAAAAAGGTCTAGAATTACATGCAATGTGTTTTGTATTCAAATCAGCCGTAGTGTTTTTATGTAAAGAACGTCTAAGGCAAAAAAAGAAATTAATGGTCAGTTTTAGATGATTAGTTTTAAATAGTATACTTTTTCAACAATCATTAAAAGTTATTGGTTTTTAATAGAGTGTATCAGGAAAAAGTGAAATGGAAATAATTAGATATCAAGTCTTAATACCAGTAACTGAAGTGCAAGTTAGAGCAAGTTCAGCTAAAGATATGGAGACACATTTCTTATGGGAACTGATACATTTACGAAGTCAATCGCACAGAAGAGCTGAAAAGATTTATGTCCTTTCCAATAGGTAAATAAATTTAAAAATGTATCCTCTTAATTGTACTATTCTAAATATTTTTTATTAACAACTCAATGTATTTGATAGTACTGCCGAATTCAGAAATGCATTCTTAAAAACTATACGTCAAATAATTCGTGAAAGTGTTAGAAATATGAGTATTCCTACTGCCAAACCTTCAACTAATACCCCAGCTCAATTAGTAAGCAATACCGCAACTTTAGGAAGACAAACTATTAGTACTGGAGGTAAATAGTATATTTTACATTCTTGATTTCAAATATTAATGTTGAATAATTTGTAAAGGTCTACAATTAAAAACAGAAGACCAAAAACACTCTCAAAATTCTAATCTAGCACAAGGATCTCAAACACTTGGTAAACCTAAAAAAATTCCTCCCAAACCACCTCAGAGACATTCTTCGGGAAGCTCTATGAGTAAAGTCGAGTTGAGAAATCAAGGAACATCATCTACTGATTCTACAACGGATACAGCAGGGACGCAAACTATTTTGCCAAATTATAGACCAAGAAGCAGGGGTAAATAAAATAAAACATCATTGTAGTTTATTCCTTATTTATATTAGTTATAAATATAGTTAGATGTATTTCACTAATATTCATATTTATTATATCGCTTTACAGAAGATAGAAAAGTTGATGATCAAAAATCTGAAGGTGAAGATGATAGCAACAGTCAACCTGGGCCATCTAAAGGACTTCCGATGCATGGTAGTTTGGGAAAAACGCCCAATTACTTAATGCTTAGTACCACTTCTACGTTATCAGCTAGTAGTACGGGCAGTCAAGCAGCCAGGCTGGTGGAAAGATCACAACAACCAGAAAACTATCAACCACCTCAGGTGCAGGACCTCGGTAAGACGGATCTGCACCAGGATTACTAAAAATCACGCTACCCACTGAGAATAGGTTAGACCCGTTATAATGTTAGCCAAGGCTAAGGGTCACACGTGGTAGAGTGAACTCGTAAAAATAACGTGAAAAGGAATCGCGATGGAGTTCACTCCGCCAGAAAAGCACATTCTGAAAACTGTAGTAAACGGATAATGTTAGCGTCTTACATTAATTATAGGTTATAAATTATATTAAGTGTATGTTTGGTGTAATAATCTGATAAGGTTAATTAGTAGAGAGATATTTATGATGGTATTTTGATTTATATTACTCCACAGGTTCTCCAGTTTGGAAGCCCAGAGAATTGGGAGAATCGTCAACATTGCCACGAAAAAAAAAATCGAATCAGGAGCAGTTTGAAACAAGGACAATGGTGAGAAAAGGAGAGAAAAAGGTTAAAAAATGAATAAAAACGCGGGACAATCACTTATTAAAAAATATTACACGTATAAAAATACCCAATTAAAGAGGAGCGTGATAGGAGTCCTCTTTTAAGTGTAATCGTGAATTTCTATGATGTCCTTGTCACCAATGGTATGGAAAGGATCGGCAGGCCGAGAGTCGAAGAAATTATGTTTATGATCAAGTTAAATTATTTCTTAAATTCTCATTACCTTATTGGTATGTTCCTACTTTATTTATTACATAAAATTAGAATTTATTTCAGGTTTTTGTTTCGTGTAAATAATAATTAAAACGAAACTGAAACAACATTTTGTCACAATTAAAAATTAAAATATACTGGATTTGGGCTGTTTATTATTATCGGTAATTAAAATACAAACGTTAATACAACAACCATGGTAAATTATTCTTTTAACCACCTTTAACTAATATTGTTATTAGACGCCATAAACAAGTATATGGCTATTTGGGATATGCATTATGAAATTTATCCACGTTACGTTGACTTAAATATATATATTTATATATATATATATATATATATATATATATATATATATATGTATGATTTATAGACCATTTCTGTTTTAATGATTATGCACCAACTTAAGGATATATTACAAATCGTACATATTAAAAGTTCAAAGCTCAATTTCATTTAAATTATTTTCTTCTTTCAAATTTCAATAGATTTTATTATGAATTGTTAAAATTTCTCCATTTGATCTCATTAGTAATATTTGAACTTAAAAAAAATTAGATTTCCTAACTGCAGAATATGTAACCACGAATCATTCATTTACTTTGCTCGAGCACATAGGATTAGAAAATAATGATTGTTTTTATGCTTAATATGTACATTGGACGTTTTGAGAATAAATAATATTATAAAATACGGTCAACGCGTGAACGACAATAAATTGTTATTGTGCAACAACGACGAACTATGAAATAAAATTATGACAAACTACATTCATTAGTTATATTGAAGTGGTCTAGGAAAACGGTTTCAATTATATTTTTAAACAATGCAATTTGCAAGATTTAGATTAACGAATAATCGAGTTCCTCCGAAAAAATCTAGCTGCATCTTTTTTTATTTACGTTCGGGATCACCTAATGAAATCATCGAAACTGTTGAAAATAATGTTTAACATTAGACGAATGACTTAGAATATTATAGTACCATTAAACTAGTTCTAGCTCTTTTGGAAAAATTAAAATTGACAACCGTAAATTATTATTATGTCATATTATGTGCCACACAAGGCACAAAACATAAATATATGTTGAAAAAAAAACAATTATATAAATACTTTCTAAGTACTATTAGATTATCTTATAATCATTATTAAAATACGGAAAGACGTCGTGCTCATGTAGGTACCTTAGAAATTCTAGAATAAGTTTTTAAATTAAAAAAAAAAAATAAAAAAAATAAACCACCCAATTATGTTTTCAATTTAGTACAATCGTTATCATTAAATTATTATATGAATTAATCGAACATTTTATTTCATTAATAATGTTTATTACCTATTCAAATAAATATATACATGTATGTGTATATGTGTATAAATGTTTAAATTAGGCCCACCGCACAATATAAAAAAATATATTATTATTATTATTATTATTATTATTATTATTATTATTATTATTATTATCTAATTTTATTATTATTTTAGTTCTTCCGTCAATCATTAACGAAAAAAAAAAAAAAAAATGTTGAGAAATTATTGTTGTGTTATTGTATTTGTAAATAAAATATAAATGAAAAAAAAAAACGATGGATTATTTTGTTTGAACAGTATACAATCTAATACATAATATGTATATATAAATATTGCGTGCGTATCTCGGCGATGGCCGAACGGGTTTTTTTTTTCACTTTCGGAAGACGAATCAAAGATAAATGTGACCAATGCGAATCGGCATTGTAACACTATCGGTGTAAGAACACAAGTATAAAATGCATATTACACAGGATTATGTACTGAAATTGGTACCGTTCGGCCACCGCTGATGTGATACAACAACAACTTGAATGATACAACAAAAGTGTCGCGTCGTGCGGCTTGTACCGCGATCCGCGCCGCTCGCATCAGACGTAGTTGACGGCCGCGGGCAGGTAAGACGTCTGGTACACCGGATGTTGGTGGTAGACCGGTTGCTGTTGGAAGGTGACGGCATGGTGCGACACGTAAGGCACCGTCAACGGGTCGGTGTAGTACACCTGCCGGAACACCGGTTCGGTTTGGTGTATGACGTACGGCTGCCGGACGACCGTCACGTCAGGAGACGTCACGTGGACCTTGGGCAGGATCACCGGTGTCACCAAGCCGTGTACGGGCGCGGCGCGCGATCCAGCGAAAGCGACCGAGAGAACGCACAAGACCACCTGCGGGCCACAACTCATAATGTATAAAATGTCAACCGTCGCGTCGGCACGATCGTTCGTGTGCGCGAATCGCATTCGTTGGTTGGTGCTTACTAGGTGAAAACATTTCAGTACCACTTACGGTACGGGCCCATAGACCGTTACGGTTTCCCAACGCTACGTCTGTTAAAGATGCCGAGGTGCTGATGTGAAATTTAAGGGTTATCGGTCCCACGCAAGCGTTCCCAAATTAAAATCGAAATAAATCTTATCTGTTTTTATGTACATTATTCGATTGCATTGCTATCTGTTCCTTCGAAAAATTTTGGCCCGTGATGCCAAAGCGTATATGGGATTCGGCCCGCCGTAAAAAAATATTGAAGACCCCCCCCCCCCCCTCTACGCAATCGATAATGTCTGAAACAGCGATCATTGAAACGAAACGGAGCGGACTACTGTTAATTGTTTGCAAGCCTTCCGCTCCGAGTTCGAAAATTAAATCAAAATTCTTTCTTCCCCGCAAAATGTCACCTCTTACACATTTTAATTCGTCAATATCACATTTAAACAGTCTTAGCAACATTTTTGCAATCCTTGACTAAAATTCTCCAGAACTTTAAAAGTACTGTACACAGTTTAAGAAGAATCTCAAGTCCGCAAAGCCGCCTTCAGTTGTGCATATTACACGTCAGTACATGAAATGTTGTGCGTGTACTATGATATAATTTTAGTTATCTGTATGGAATTATAACAATGAAACGTACAGAAGTTCGAACTTTCCGGAAAATAGGTATAGTTATGAAACAATACCATTAACTTTGTTTCATGAAATAATGATCATAATTAAATAGTTTATAAACATTTAAATAGATTAATAATATTTAACATCTAAAAATATATTAAAAATTGACGATAAGGAAATAAATTATGAAATTGCGGTTCTACATTACTTTCCCTGATAAGTATTCAAATATTTTGAAATACAATTCATCGATAACTTAATACTTTGCAACAAACTGTATTTTATATATATATATATATATTTTTTTTAATTTAAATTATTAATATTAAGTATTATTTGTTGCTATTATTTCAATTTAATTATATAGGTATTTTAGATAATTATTTTATTTCTTTTTAATATTTACAATGAAAATGTGAACAAGCTCCAGTCAATAAATGATGAGCGAAATATAAATTTAAAAACCCGTAAGAATAACATATAGCTTATGTTTGAAGAATTATAAACTACCAAATTTAATTATCAATCTACACAACTGATATAAATTTTTTTTTCTTTCTGGATAATACGTTGAGACCTACTGGATAAATATTAGTATACAAATTTAAGCAATGAAAATTATGACAGCACTAATAGCTTAAAATAATCAATAGGTATAACACACACAGTATTCATAATAAATAAAATACTGAAAAAACTCATACTCACATATTTAATTAATGAAAAGTATATTATTAAAAATGTATATCATTAATAATATTTATATTGGGTTGAACCGATGTTTATTTAATATTTTAATTTTTTTAATTTAATTAAAATTTTACATTAATTTTAGGTCAAACAAAAATAATTAATAAAAAACTGATATTGGTATGAACAGAAATTAAAATTAATACTCCATATAAAGTAAATAAATAATTCAAATCAATACTACCATTATCTTTTTTTAATACCACGAACAATATTGTTTTATTTATTAAAAGTAGTACAAGCAAGCCCGGCTCAAGGGGTAGATGACATAGGTTTACGCCTAGGACAAAATTTAACATTTTTATATTATAGATAATGTTTTAAAAAAAGATAATAATTCCTAATGCCCACTCATATTAAATTATATGTAGTAAAAAAAAGACTCCATAGACTTTTTTCCTTCATTTAAATTAATAGTGGTTTACTTGTCTACAAATGTATTGATTCTAATCAATTGTTAAACTTTACACAAATAAATATAATTAACTCAGAATTAAGTCTATTAGTATTGCTAATGTAAAAAAAAAAAAATATTTTAAGTAGAATTTACCTGTAAGGAATGGCAAAACTTAAGTTTATCTAGGTTTGATTAAAAATTTGAGCCGGGCCTGAGTACAATTAACAGGTATAATAATGATTTTAATAGAAATTTTTTATTGTATCAATAAACACTACCGCTATTTTTATATAACCTAATACATACGGTTTAATTAATAGCGTTAAAAATAGTTTGACTATAGATCAATATAAAATAATTTATGAAATCTATAATCTGTTTATACTTTAACAAGGAAATATTACTTTACATTACAAAAAATATACTCACCAATAAATTCATTTTGACGATATTTCAGCTTCGGAGACTGAGTGAAAATAATGATTACTTCTATGAAATATTTAAATTTGAACCAGTATCCGTATAAGAGTAGATATGATACACGATTTTCCAAGACAAGAGGTTTTATACCTTTTCGGAAATTCTCTCAGTTTCAAATGAAGAATAACCTCTCGAGCACGCCCACTTCACAGCGGAGTTCCTGGCATTGACCTCTACCTTTATTTTATTTTTAATTATTTTCATTTGTTTGGCATATTATATTTTGAAAATAAACTCACATTCATATAGGTATTGTTTTTTTTTTTTTTTTTTTTTTTATTGTTAAAGAAGAAGATACAATTAAAACAATTATACGTTGTCAGTTTTAATTAAATGTTTAATGGAGTTTATTGGATGTATATTGCATATTTCAGGATCAAAACAAAACAAATTGTCTATAGATATTTTGACTTTTGATCGATTAATAATTTTATCATAATAATAAACTAATAATAATACTCAAATTATAAAACGTCAACACTGTAATGATTCTGACATTCTAGATGTGAATTTGAAATAAATACATGATTCTGTATTATTACATTTTATTCAAAGCAGATACTAGCAGTGACGGTGCTAGAGTTTGCGAGGCCCTGGGCAAAATAAATGTTGAGTCTTATAATTTCTATTTATAAAATATTTTAAGTTCAGTTAAATCAGAACCGTGGGGCCTTAATTATAATTTAAGGCGCGGGGCCCTGGGAAACTGCTCCTATTGCCTTCTCCTCTCACCGTCCCTGGATACTAGTATCTACATTTTGTACTTAATATTCAATACTTAATACTTAGTTTTACTTGGTGTGTTAGTTACTATAGAGTGTTTCAAAAAGAACGCAGGATTCAAATCTGCTGTAAATTAAATTTATTTCTTTTAAAAAAAATATAATAAATATATTGTTTTCTTTGGGAGAAGTTAAGGTTTAACAGTGAAAAACAATATCGAGAATATGATCCTCCCTACTAGCCCTAAAGGCGATTATACTTTCCATAAAATTTATCATCACTGGATAACACATTGCCCCTACAAGTTCGTCGAGGACACGACGAATTTATTGCTTAAATTCCAAGATATTTCGAACTTTTTTCTGGTAAACTCGTGACATAGTGTATCTTTATAAGAAAAAATCCCACGTCGCAAAATCGAGGTGAGTAGTTTTTACCAACGTGATTAGTCTGTCTGGGAACTTCTCACACATCAGAGGGATTGTTTCTCTTGAAGTGTAACAAGTTTCGCCGTCTTATTGTAACCATACAATAATACCTACTGAGCTCAGTAATTTTCTTTGGCCTTATTTGGACCAAATGAACATCAACATTTTTTGGTTTCAACTTTTCATTTTATCATTTCTTGTTATATTAATACATTCATAAAGAAAGAAGTAATTCGGTTTCCTTTAAAACATTAATGAAATCCATTGTATCTGACAATTATTTTGAACTCGATATATTAAACTATACTTACCCTTCCATAAAAATTTTCCTCAAATTGTCAATAACCTTTTTTAATTTGAATAAGATGCTCAATTATAACCTCTCTAGAAAACTTTTTTACATTTTTTTTATGTATAGATAATATGAAAAAAGTATATTCATTTTTTTTTTTTTGAAAACCAAATTTTAAAAATGATTTTAATGAGTCCAAAAAGGAAAAAAACTGAAATTCTATAGTAATCAATCGGATTATTTGTAAGATAACTTACATTTATAATTTATTTTAAAGTAATTCTGGGTAACAAAAATTCAATACCATTATCATCAGTATAGTGTTTTTTATCTTTCATTAAAATGTTAAAAACAAGTTCACTGCTATTTCTATCAGCTGAAATAACAACAATCAATTTTTTTACGCATTTTTGTACTGCAAATAAATGCAATAATTGCAATTATTACCCTTAAACTAAAAACTGTTGAATATAATTTTTCTTATAATTACTAATAAGCTCGAAAAAGTTTTATTCTAGAAATATTTTGTATTTTTATAGTAAAATGGATTATCATATACATACGAGTATTATAATATAGCGATCTTCAACCTATTAGATTCACGACCCATGTCAATTTTGTTAGTCATGAAAATCAAAATAATAGTTAAAATTTCTAAATATATATCACTATAGAAATAATTTTATAACTGAATAAATTCAAATTTTTATATTTCCATGTAACTAGGTAACATTACATTTTTATTATAAGTTATGTTCCAAAAAAAAAAAAAAAAAATGCAAAAAATAATGCGAAATGTAACCCTGATTGTTTTTGAGCAAAATACTCCATCTCATAAAAGTGTTGACGAGAAAGAACGGGTGGGCACTCCCCCCCCCTCCCGACGGATTGTGCATCCAACAAAATCTTGCCCGAATAAAATAAAAGTTGTACAGCTTCTACTCAGTACCGAATGCACCATTAGAACAGCGTTTCTCAACCTTTTTTCATTCGCGTACCCCTTGCTCTATCGCCACTATCTTACGGACCCCCAAATGTCAACTTGGTCATATTTTTTTCTTTTATTAGCTTTTAGTTATACTATTACAGCTCAACAATTATAAGCAAAAAAAAAAAGCATATCTATATAACAATAAAATATTTAGAAACAAGCTACTTAGTCATATAATTTTTACATAAGATAAATACGAATTAACGAAATAAGGAAAACGAACAATTTGGAAATGTCTATTTATTTTAATCGGCATGTGCCATACAATTTATCTATTTATATATATAAATTAAGTTAAAAATTTTTAATGCGATCCTTGGGCTTGTTTGCTAACACTTAATTTTTTTAAATCTGACTTCACAGTTGATAGATAAACCCGTAAGTCTGAACTCACAGATAGTCTACTACAGTACTTATTTTTAATGAACGTATATGATGAAAAGGCCCTCTCCACTAATACAGTGCTCGTGAACGGTATTAAAATATTAAATGCTTTGTAGGAAAGCTCAGGATATTCGTTATTTATGTCAGCCCCAAATTACTATAACAAATATATCTAATACAACAAATTTCACTTTTTTCGCTATTACGCCTTTTCTTTCCGTGGACCCCCTAATACCTTCTTGCGGACCCCCGGTTGAGAAACGCTGCATTAGAATACAGTACAGTACAGTAGTTTTTATTGTTTTAACACGAAAACGGTTATACATTTTAGTCTTAATTAAAAAATACTCCTACTATTGCGAGTTAACATAAATATAAATATTTCTTCATGTTCAAAAAAAAAAAAAAAAATAGGTATCATGATTTAAAAATGTATTTGCCCCCTCGGCCACAGGTTTCTGAACACGCCTTTATTCCTATTCGGCTCATCATGTAATTTATAGACAAATAATAAGTTAATACATTTTATCCATAATTCAGTCTATTACTATTCCATTTCTTCATTTGATGTTCTTTCTTATCTTCTATTTATATAAAATAGTATTGTTTCGGGTTAACTCGATAATTAATTTAAATAATCTTCTGTAAATTTTTTTAATTTCGAACTGAAGATTTATAGCGACCCACAAGTTGCAGACCACTGTTATAGTAGGTACATACAGTAACAAATTCCCAGAGGGGCAATGGCCTCCTTGATAACTAATAATATTGGGTTTCGTCTTATCAATGAGATTGTGTATATCATATCAGAAGTAAAAATCATTATCTATCATTCTTTCGTGTCAATTTTATCAATAGTTACAAAAAAAAAATTTAGTAATAAAAAATAAAGCGATAGACGGCTAACGTATAGCTTTTTTTTCCTTAACTCGACAACAATCATTTCAGTTTCATGAACTTCAACATGATCGGGAACATATTTAACTATGTCTCAAAGTGATCTTTCCCTAAAGAAAAATATGATATTTATTGCAAGATAAAATCTTTTCGATATGAAATATATTTTTGAACTACAGTCTAAAATACAGTACCCTGAAAATCAAATTTTGTCCCCTGAATTACAAATGTGTTTCAAATTTTATTACGTGTTTTTAGTTTTAATTGCAGAAATAACAAACATATTGAAATTTCAACATAGTATTAAAATGTATGTCCCCTGAAATCAGATGTACTTTAAGCACTGTTTTGGTTTATATGTCCAACCACTTAATGTGGGCAAGTTCATGAGTTAATCCTAATGTATCCACTTTAAACAGAATTCACTGTATTTTGAATAAGTGTTTCATAAGTTTAATATAAAATAATGCAAACATTTCCGGGCATATACATAAATATAGACAATCAGTCTAAAACTTAGAATCGCTATAATTATTTACTACAAATCAGTATGAGGTAAACCAACCTTTAATTATTTTAAATTGAATTTATATTAGTTCATTTATTTAGTTACTTTATACAATTTTTATATTCAAAAATGATTGGTTAATTTCAAAAATATAACATCAGTTGAACCCAACCTAATATTGGCAATTTTAATACGAATTACCCAATTCACATTGAAGAATTATCAGTATATAAAAGAACTGAATTAAAATAATTAAAAAAAAGAATATTAAATAACTATTGTCAGAATTTAATACTTAATTTTAATTTCCAAAAATATGCCAGTTATGTTATTTATATCATCCTATAAAAGTCTACGATGACATTTCTGATCTAATTTGAGTTTTATAATAAACCTTATTAGTAGAACACAACTGTTTTATTCTATCATATTTTAGGCTCACTTCCGGTCTACAGTTCTAGAAAGTTCTTCTAGAAAGTCAGTTTAAAGGGCAATTGAATTTTTTTGGGTTAGTAATGAGCTAATTGCAATTTTAATATATAAAAAAAAAGATACTATTTCAAATTAGTTTTAGGTTAAATATTATTGTTAGTTCTATGATTTAATTTTGTTTTAAAGCTGATTTTAAGGCTATTAAATAAAATTTGATCTAAAAGGACCTCAAGATAAAAACTCTACTTATTAAATTCTTGAATTAAATTATATGCAAATATGAACTTTTTAAATAAGTAAATTAAAGTGATTATTAAAACTTAATAAAAATGATGAATTATGTATAAAAAATAAAGCAAAAATAGAGAAATAAGGCTATGGACTAAACAATTTTTAGTATGCTCAAGTTTTAAAAGGTATTTTTTCTATAATATTATCATATAAAATTACTGATATACATAAATGTAAAATCAATTTTAATATAAATAATAATTATTTTATACAGAAAAATTGGAGAATTAGGAACAAAAATACCTATATTGTTTGACGAATAAATTAAAATTATTACAACTTAACAACATAAAATTTTAAGTGTATTTATAATTCTAACACTTAAAATAGTTAAAAACAACAACAAATGGTTATTTACTAAATTATTGGCAAAATTAAAAAGTTATCGATTCTGTTGAGCAGTAATTACATGTTCATTCATAATCATTTGATATTCTTGGAACCTCTGGGTCATTCTTTCAGATGCTTTGAGAAATTTGTTAGTGCAGTTCTGAGCACACTTTTCCTAGAATACATATTAATTATATTAAAATATTACAGAAAAAATAACAATAAAGTATCATAAAGAAATTATTATAATTAGATACAATTAGTAAATATGAATAAATTATTAAATGTTCAATGTAGTAAGAGGCTATATCAGAGAATTAAAAGATAACACAGATGTAATAAAAAACGTTGTTTATTTATTTTCAAATATTCATAATTGAAGGAAAACAAGTTTCACCCAAAATCTCTAACACTAAAATAAATTTTTTTATAATGCTGTAATGTGCGAACAAAGGCAAATTAAAAAAAAATTTTTTTTTAAATTTGAAAAAAGTTAAGACTTACTTCATCGCTTTTAAGATCACCTATGGTAAAATCTGTTGCACAGTCCATAAAACATAATTCAGTTAATTTATTGTAAGATTTAAATATTTCTTTTACCTAAAATCATAAAAATCATTATTTAATTATAAATGGTCATTAAAATCAATACACCATGGTAATGTATGTAGTAAAATACAGAACATAATATGGTGTACAAAAGCACAAACGCATACCCCTTAATATTACGATTATAGTATTAAATTAATTTGTTTAAAATTAAATTGTTTATAAATAACTAAATAATTTTTCTTGTGAGACTTACACTGGCCAATTGAGAAGCATCGAAATCCATATTATCAGCAATAGCATTATCCATGGTTGTTTTATAAAACAGTAGTTTTAAAACGAAATTATTTTAATTATATGACGTACAAATTTAAAATCAATAAATTTTGTGTCAGTAAAATGTATTAAATTTAATTTAGTTAATTTAATCAATTTGAAAATTTAATTTTCGTTTCCTAAAAGGTAGTAATAAAATATCATCTATTCCAGTCTTTACTGTTATATTTTTTCTAGGTTAGTTTACCGTATACCGCTATACCATTGATTATTTATCAACAACTATACTATCACCAAAGAATATATTCAGCTTATTCTGCAATACGAAAATCATGCTTTTAAAAAAATATATTCAACTATTCGGACAAATCTTTTTTCGAGATTTATAGATATTAGATTTATTAGTTTATCTATACACTTAGCCCTTTTCTACATTTTGTAATACGTTTCAAACTTCTCTTAAATTTAATTTATTCATCCAATATCAATAAATATTTTAACAATTTAATACATTTATTTTAAAAAAATCTTGTGAACTGCAGGTTTCTATATTGCCTAAATATTAAATCTATCTACATAATATACATAGTGTATTATTACATTCATCATGCACTATATATAGTAGGTAACAGTATTCTAGTAATAAAAAGAGCATTTATAAATGAAGTAACATTATGAATATCTTTTGTTGCCGAAAGAGTAAAACAAAATTGTATTTTACAAAATGTTATTTTTATCTTAAATAAAATATAATAGAGAAAACATTTAACATAAAGAGAAATTTATCAGAGGAAAAATGAAAAGATTATTGAGTAATTAGGAAGTATATTGAAGATATTTATAAGGCAGATGATAAAAGTGATAACTGAAACTAAAATTGTCTTATATATTTTATTTAAAAACATCTTTCTACATAAAACAACACTCACATTCCAATAAAGTATGCCATGAAAAATTATTTTACTTTTTATAGTACAATAATATTATATTAGAAGGCAGCATGTTTATTTATAGGTATGGTCTTGAATGGTCAATCAATAACCAAGAAAGAAGAACAACAATATTATATATTTATTTTTATAAATACAAAGGAAAGAAGTAAAAAAAGCTCCTTTTTGTAAAAACAAAGGAAATTTGTTAAGTCATATGATTTTTTATATTTCTTCCTAGTATAGATTGATTTATATATATATTTTTCTTTTTTTTTTTTTTGTATAAAAATACAAGGTTCTCAAATCTAGTATTTTTAAATATTTTTTTAGTTACAATTTTAATCTTTCTTTAACATTCTTAACTACAATAATAAAATATTTATAGAATTCATAATTGATACATAAAAATAATTATTTTAAACGGATATTAAAGTAATTTATAGTTTACTTACTGGATAAATATTTTTTTAAGGACAAATAAAATTGTAAATAAATGACAATGTAATAGTATTTTTGGAATGAAAAATAACATTTTATATATTATGAATCTTTAATTTTTTTTTAAGTATAAACTTAATTAATATTATAATGTAGATCTACCAATTGTTATCCCATTTGTTATTCCATTCGTCTTGAATTGGTTGATATTTTTCAGTTGTTTGATCTGAAGATGATGAATGAGTATTATTAACATCCCAAGATGTCCAGCTGTTTTTTCGTTGTACATTTCTTAACAAAAATAAATAAAATGTATTTATTTAAATTTCATCGCATGATATAATAGTTAAATAATTAAATACCTAGTCATTATTAACTATCTTTAAAGAATAAATATAAATTAATCAATTAAAGTTCAACATAAATAATTAAACATTTTTAAAATACCTTGTACATTATATAAAACACTATTATTGTGTAATTATTACAAAAATGTATGCATATATCTCTAATGTCTTTGTAATCAAATAAAAAAAAAAATAGTATTTTATTAGTAATAAAGTAACATGTTCATACTTTTGATTCCCAGAAGAACCATCAGCAATTAATGACGAATTTTCTGTGGAATGGGCTACAAAATTTGTTGAATGTGATTTTGGCGGTGTAGGATTATTACTTCCAGTAATATTTTGCCACTCTTTACGGCCTAAATCACTAACCTAAATTAGAAAAATTTTAATTTCAATTTATTTATGTATGAAATTATAAAAATACTTTTGGTGATACTTTAGACTTTATAATAATATATTTTAATAAATTTACCTTGGTAGACATAGTAGAAAATTGAGTGGATACATCATCAATTAAAGTACCTTCTTTTATCTAACGATACAAATATAAATAAGCATGACATAAATCATAAATATTAAAATGGTCTACAGTTAGAAAATAATACAAATAAAAAATAAAACTATATAATTGAATAAAATTAAAAATATAAATTATCTTAAAATAGTATGTGGGCGATGCATTCAGACATTAAATTTTTTAAATAAACAACAAACTACATAAAATTGTACTTATTTTTTTTGTTTTAAAGAGAGTAAAAAAATGTTAACAAATAATTAAACACGCTTTTTTTTAACTTGTTAAGTAAAATAAATTATATTTTATTAAAAAAATGTTATCATACTACATTTCAATAATAACACATTTTATAGTAATAACATTCATTTAATTTACTTTTTCAAATATTATAACTATAGATTAAATAAATATTGTAATATATCTGAGACTTCATAAAATATAAAAATTGTTTAATAACAGTTTTAATATATTATTTCATATTGAAACAGTTATTCTAGGGTCAAAAAGAAATCAAATTTTAGTTATTTAGATATATTTTCTTGAAGTTGGAGCATCAACTTATTATATTGAATAATTATAACACTATACTAGACTAAAAGTTAACTAATATATTTATATTAATTTGTGTTCAATCACTTTAACTGCTTTAAAATAATTTAAAATGTCTACTTAATTACTATTTTTATAAATACTTAAACACCAACTATACCACCTAATGAAAACTTTCTAAACAATTATTAACATGAAAACAAAATTAACAAAAGTGCAAACTTTAGTAAACATTTCATGCAACTTACCTTTGAGCTTATATCAGTAGTCATATCTGATACCTTTTGTGTAGCTAATCCTCCAATTTTAATAGCACTTTGTGTGGCCTGGGATGCTAGTTTTGATGCCGACGAAGAAAATATTGACCACCCCTATAATTATTTAATAACAATATTACAAATACAAAATATAATAATTACTATAATAGTAAAGTATTAAAATATTTTACTATAGTTAACTTTAATATTTAATTATCAGAATAAATAACGAGAATAATAAAATACTTGAATCTAAAATGTATGATTTATCCTTTTAATTTTTCACCATTAAATAATCAATTAATAAACTATAATATAAATTTAAAATTAAAGTATACAAGTTTTGAATTATATTAGAAAGTAATTTTAAAAATTTAATTATAAACATTTTTTTCAAATCAAGTTGTATTTTCATTTTTAGCTGTTCTAATAATGCTGAATAAATCTAAGTTTTATTAAATATCTTACTGACTTAAGATTTCTAAAAACAATAATGAAGCCAATTGATATTTTTAATACACATAGGAGATTACAAACACTAACTCATGACTTAAATTGATGTTAATATAGTGAACATGTTAAAACATGACATGATAATATAACTTAAGGTAATATATAAGTCATTATTAAAGCAGAAGATTTGTAGCATTTGCATATTTTTTTTTGCACAGTCACAAAAATAGCAGAGTGCGAAACAAATACGTTTCATGCTTCCACAAAGTTAGTTTTGAAATTTTATTGTGCATATAAATGCATATTTTGTGTCTTATTGGTTTTTAGGGCATATCTCTTACATTTTATACTTTTAGATGCATATTTTAAATAATTTATCATTTTATCAATATTTTTTTTCGTCGACGTTTTTATTTATTTATTCATACAACCAAAATAATGTTAAATTTAAAATTATTTTAAATTTTAATCATAATATTAATATAGTTTTTGAATTTTCCCAGACCCATCATGGTTTTCATAAAAACATGTCTCGAGAGTTGTCGATTAGATTGATTGTCGGGTTGTTAATTTTATTAATAAACACATAAGATAATATTATTCAACACACAAAATATTCATAGGGGCCACGGGGACGCCTGTCGCCAACATTTGATGTATTCATATTTCAGTAATCGCTCTGTTTCTCAACGGTTGACAGTTGACCATACGTCCAAACATGTTTTATTCATTATTTATTATAAAAAATGCCTAAAGTAAGTATCCAGATAGAAAACCCATAAAATAAACCTAATTAATTAATTGCAACTTGTAAGTTGTTAAATAAAGTTAAAAATAAAATTTATTCATTATAATAAGTACCAACAGATAAATTCTTATATTTTATTCAAAAAAAATTCATTTTAAAATGCATATTTTAAAAATATATTTGTATATTTAAGTGCATATTTGGTGAATTTTTAGAGCTACAAATTCTCTGCTCTAGTCAACGTTAAATACCCTAATTACTTCTACTATATTATTTTATTTATTTATCTTACACTGGAAAATGATGACACTGCTGAATCAAGAAGATCTTGTGATTGACTCCTAGGTGGTTGTTCAATTGTGTTTCCAAATCCAGAATATCGTCCACCTTGGTTTGGAGGTAAATTTCTATATAATAAAATCAAAAGTAAATTAATAACAAGCAAATAATTAAAATATAATTTACCAGGGATAAATAAAATTAAAAAATATTTTTTAAAATTTACATAACTAATTTTTATTTAGTTACTATCTGTTAATTTACTTACTCAGGTTTAGTCATGTTTTCATATTGTTTTCTTGCAAAAAAAGCTTCTTTTTCATCTTTAATATTTGGAATATTAACATCATTTTGATAGCCAGAACTAATTTCATTATAATTTGTAGATGATTCATTAAAACTATATTTCTGTGATTGATTACTTTTCCTAACAAAAATTATTCATATAAAATACAATGTTACAATTAAAAAAATTCCAATTACATTTTCATATGATCTACATTATAATCTTTTGCAGATGAAGTAGTAGGACTCCATGTTTCTCCTTTAGCTAAACTTAAAATCTATAAAGACAAAATTAGTACAATTAATAATAAAAACAAAATAAATTAAACAAATAATTTAATTTACCTTATCTCGATATAGAGCTGCTGCTTTAGTATTATATTTTTGTTCAATAGTCATTGAATCATTCCAGTCTGGTTGAGATTCAAAAAATTCCTTGGCATTTCTATTTCCACCGACCTAAAAATTATTAGTATCATTAATTAGTCGGCATTATATTAATTTCATTGAAAAATATGTATATTTGCAAATAGTAATAAAAAACACTTACTTTCATTTTTTCCAGTTCTAAATCCTTCCACGAATCCATAGTAATAGACCGAACAAATGACAGGTGAACCCCAAGACCCCTGTGCTTTCCAGAACACATTAAGCAGATCCATATACCATATGAAACAGACGCCCATTGAGGATTGTGAGAACCACACTCGAAACATTTCTAAAATAAAATTTAAATACAATCATTCTGTTTGAAACTATATAACAAATGTAAAACTTTACCGAATTATCCTGTTGGGTCATAAGCTCTTGAAGAATTCTAGGAGTTTTGTTTACTAAATGTTTCATACTCATGATGAATAGTGACTGATTATTTGTGTTAAAAGACAACAAACTGTTGATGGCTTAAACACAAATTACATGAATAACATAATGAATATCAGCTTAAAAAATTGACTATATGGAAAATTTAACAGTTCTATTGTTTACTATTTAACATAAACTGAAGATTAAGCATAAACAACGAACGATAATAATATTGATGATAAGTCTTGGTAATGTTACGTATTATTTAAAATGTTCTCTGTTCACAACACCCTAACACCGACATCACCAAGACATAACTCGACCGACCCACAAGTCGATTATCTAATGTCCACTATTGTAGTGCAGTACATTTTAACTGATATGACGTGTCGTATTTTACGCGATAACGTCTCGTATGTTATCTCAGTCTGTACAATCACGTTAAAGCATAGAACAATAGTCAAAGGCTGCCATCGTCGAGGTTTTATCAACAGCAGTCGCGAGACTGCGATGGCGGAAAAACAGGTGTTTTGTGTTTATAATCATAATTTACCATTGGTGGGTAAATATCGTAGTCTGTGTGTATTTACGAAATGATTCATGTTTAATAATTTCATCCGTTCTATTTATTTTCTATCGCAGGCAAAAAAAAAAAAAAAATAACACTATTGTCAAGCTCCAATGTTCATCATGTCTAGCGACGACTAAAACTGCTGCTTACTCTGCCATCGCTTCTCTTCTCGTCAGTTGTGTTGTAATCTTCGTTGGCGCCGAAAGAGCCGATTTACTCCGTAGTAATACATAGTAAATTTTTTACTCGTTTTCTTTATCACGACGGTTACGAATCGGCTATTAACACGATATTTGCATTTTTATAAATTATTATAACGTATAATAACATATGTCGTATAACTCTGTTCGACTTCACTATTTGTATCAATGTGTTCTACCATGATATCCCAATGCCATTGCCACTGATGCTGCTTATTCCTTGTATTGTGTCTACCCACATACGTTTTGTCATCCTGCGTTGCCCGCAGCTTTCAGGACTGTCAAGGACGGAATGAGGTAACTGTCACAGCGCATTACTCATACGCAATATCTGCGTGTGTGTTTTTGTATGTTTTGTGCCCAATCGGTATCCACCTGCCTGATTGCTCACAGCCACCAGTTGCCAACATGGATCCTAGGGTACAACCTTCAAGCAAATATTTCCCAGGTAATTAAAAACTCATTGATTATATGTCACCTCCGCTATGTGCTAACAACACAAATACTAAGGGTGATGGTTTTCCTGGCTATAATTTTTTAAAAATCATTGTCTTATGTTTTAATACAGTTGACCAGTTAATCAATGCGTAAAATTAGTTAGGCTTTTGTTTTTATTATTTTCACTAATGTACTCATTGTAGTTGTTTGATTATTAAACTTGAAATTTTCTGTACTTATCATATTTTTCATAGCGGGCTTATATTATTTTGAGCCATAAATAAACTAAATAATCAGTGAGTTGGAATAATTTAAATTATTATAATTGACATCAAATTAAACGTATAAAATAGTGTTTGTTTTTCAAACCATAGTATGATCATATTTTAATTTTATTAAGTTGAAATATGTTGAATTTTGTCTTCTATGTATTCACCGATTTATCCAATCATATATTTATATAATTTTGGTATCACCAAAAAATCAATAATTTTAGTATTATAAATATTTATCTTTTACTAGGATCTAAAAAAGCAATATTTATTTTTATATGAATGTACATGATCAGTAAAATTTAATAAATTTAAATTTGACACTAGGTCGCTATAACCCATTATATTTACTCAATTTCAGTACTCAAATTAATTATATACTTAAAACTTTTCATCATAAAAATAACCAAGTTTTTAGCTTTCAATTTAAATACTGAATAACTGTACATTTAAGGTTTATTATATATCAGGGGTGGCCAAACTTTTTTCGGCCGCGATCTACTGAAAATATACTTCACCTTTGAAGATCGACTTTCTTGGAAATTTTTTTTATAAACCAGAATAAAAGATAAAAACTTTACAGGTAAAACTTATCGATAATTTGTTCATGACCACCACGATTAATTTTTGTCCACGTGGCCTAAAAATAAATTCTAACATGATCGACTCTGAAATCATCCGCGATCGACCGGTCGATCGCGATCCACCGTTTGGCCGCCTCTGTTATATATGGTACACATATTTTTAAAATTATTTAATTTTTTTATAAAATGTCAGTGGCATTTCAAATTGTTTTCACCAATATTCTACTAATTAATGAGCTAAAATTCATAGTTACTTAGGTACCTATTATTTTAATTTAAAAAGTATTTCAATTTAATGATGAAATTAGAGTTAATAAATTTAAGCCAAATATTTTTTATACTGTACTTCATTACTCCTAATTAAAACTTAAAATAACTATTATTAATGTGGTGTATATAAATATAATGAGTACAAAATTCAGAAAAAAAAAATTTTAAAAAATTTAAATTTAACCTACTGTTGTTAATGTTAATATTGGTTTAAAAATTTTCAGTTAAAATTATACAATATTTTTAAGTTAACAATTCAATAAAAAACATGTTTTTTATAACTTCAAACATTTGATAATATACATTTCTAAAATCTTGTAGTATTTTATTTAGAACAATATAAATGTGGAAATTATTGTTTATTTAAATAATATCAATATAGTAATATTAGTCATTTATGAAATAAAATCTATGTATATAAAAAATATTAATATTTTGTTTGTCATTATTTCAGTTGCAATGACTGATAATGAAGAACCATATCCTAGTCTTTCTGATTACCATGATTATGAACCCAATTTAGAATTTGATGATACTGAATTACAAAGTCCAACAGCAGATATTGGTAAAGTATTTATTTTTTCATTACTACTTTGATATCATATATATTGATTAGTTGTATAAAAATATAGATTTGTGTATTTATATATATATATGTATAACTGTTTTATAACTAGTAATTATTAAATAAATTGTTTATCTTTTATTTTAGACTTGGAGAAGAGTATAGCTATTGTAAATGGTACTGGTGGAACATTAGATTACATGGAATCTCCTGTTTCTGATGGTACTATTGAAGAAAATTTTGAAGAAGAACTAGTAAATGCACCTCAAATTGTTGAAGGATTAACATCTTTAAATGATAAAGAAACTGGCAATTTATTAGATGATTTAGAAGCTGATGATGTAAATATAATAATTATTATAATGTTGATTTTATGAGTGTATATTACTAGAAAAATATAATACATATATCCCATTTAAACCAGTATTATCTTCTAACCTTAACAGATGTCTGTCTTTAGTCATATTTTAATAGTAAATATTAATCTAATGTCCTAGTTCCTTGGCAACAATTTATTGGCTTATTCATTTGTATTGATAATTAATTCTTTAAATCATTATTCCTTAATTATATTATCCCTTACAATTTTTTTCTCTATTAAAATAAAAAATAATGTTTTGTACCCATTAGATTGTTAGTGCATTTATTATTTGAAAATATAATAATTAATTTAATTTATATACAAGTATACATTATTTTTTAAGATTTGAAAAAAATGATTTCTTTTTATATTTAAATAACACATTATTGTTTTACTTTTTTTTTTAATAAGCATAATTTTAGTCCTTTTTTAATAATTATTTTACTAAAACAATCATTAAAATGTATCTTTTAAAGTTTTTTTTTTCAAAATTCAGCATAATAATTGTAGAACATCCAAATATATATGTATAAATCTTACTTAAATTTAATATTAAATAAATAAATAACATTTTTTTAATTATCATTTTTAAGATACAAAGTTATTTTCAACTAAATGAAAAAAAGATATAAACTTTAGTTTATTATATTTGTATAAAAAGCAGAAACAGTTTTATTTTGTTTTTGCTTTAAATGTAGCTTTATTTCATTCCTTATAATATTTTAACAAATTCATTATATTTCTTATGCATTTTTTTTCTCACTTTAGTCAAAAGAAGAAGAAGACTTTAGCGATGTTGCTAAATATGGGGTGGTTGATGTTGTTGGTGATGATGCAGTAGGCCGTAAAATCATAGTAGTATCAGCTTGCAAATTACCTAGTAACAAAGAAGTGGATCATCCAAGACTTCTTAGGTATATATTTATATTTAAAATTTATAATATAAATAATTAATTTGAATGCTATAAAATAACTATGTATACTTTCAATATTTTTTTTAATACTTCTAATCTTACTTTCATTTATTATTGATATATATTTTAAACTTTATTTATTAGATATCTAATGTACACTTTGGACAAATTTGTGGAACAAGACTACAGTTTAGTATATTTTCATTATGGATTAACAAGCAAAAATAAACCAACACTGTCATGGCTGTGGCAAGCGTACCGTGCATTTGATAGAAAGTACAAAAAGAACTTAAAGGCTCTGTATTTAGTACATCCAACTGGTTTTATTAAAGTGGTTTGGCAACTTTTTAGAGCTGTTATTAGGTGATTGTTCTCATTGTACTAACTATTTATCAAACTTCAAAAAGTAATTTTGCAATTTGTTTAGTGCAAAATTTGGCCGAAAAATTATGTATGTAAATCATCTTCAAGAACTGAAACAGTATTTAGATTTAGATCAATTAAATATTCCAATACCAGTTTTAGAGTAAGTTTATTTTCAAATTTAAAATATAACTGTCTTATTAAACTATTTTTTCCTTTATTTTTAGTCATGATGAACAGTTAATGAAAAAATTAAAGAAAGGAAAAGTAACGCAACAAGTAGAATTAGAAGCTGAACAAAAACCTGAACCATTACCAACTCAGCAATTTGGTGTTTCCTTACAATTCATAAAACTCAATAATAATGGAGAAATAATTCCTCCATTGGTGCAAAAGTGTGTTGAATACCTTAGTCTACCAGATGGTAATTTAAAAATTCATAAATTTGTATTTCTTATAGAAAGTTTTTAATTATTGTTTGTTCTTAATATAGCTTTAGAAACGGAAGGACTGTTTAGAAGATCTGCAAACATTAATCATGTAAGGGATTTACAAAATCGTATCAATCTTGGTGAACCAGTAGATTTTGGCAACGATGTACATCTTGCTGCTGTTTTGTTAAAAACATTTTTACGAGAGCTTGAAGAACCTTTAATGACATTTGATTTATTTGATGAAATTACTCAGTTTCAAAGTAAGATTTACTCAAGACTCATCCTCCCTCTCTTCTTTTTTTTTGTCTTTTGATTGGATATATAATTTTCATTTTATGTGTTCAAATTAAATTTATTTTATTTTATTTTCATTTTTTAGCTCTTCCAAAGGATGAACGTCCAAGGCAAGTAAAAATTCTAATATTGGAAAAGCTCCCTCTTGATAATTACCATTTACTCAAGTACCTTATACAATTTTTATCAAAAGTAAGTGTATGAAGTATAAAAATATAAAAAATATATTATATATAAAGTGAAACTTCGATTATCCATGTTCGCTTCCAAAAATTAAAAAAAAAGTATGGACTGTAAATATATATGTATGTGTGTAATTATATCAATAATTTTATATTACATAACATACAATATCGACAAACATATAAATTATATTTTTGACAATAACAATATGAAGATAAGCAATATTGTACATCAATTATTATATTTATATCGAATCACCTTCAGTAAACTTTTGGTTTTCTCTGTCACCGTATGTATCGTTCCGACATAAACTAATAATGACTGCTGAACGAAACCGTGTCATTCTTTCTTTTGAAAAAAAAATTGTTAATTTTTAACCAGGCTGTAGATCATGATGAAAGTGTAAAAAAAACTTGAAAATGAGTTTGGGGTGAGTCAGCAGACAGTTCTTGACTTAATCAAACCAAAAAATGAAATTTTTAAATTCATATCTTGTGTAGAATTATGAGAAGAGAAAAACTATGAAAAAATCATTATTATCTGACATGGAATCTGCTTTTTTTTGATTGGTTTAAACAGAAACATATTCAAGGCATTCTGATTTCTGGGCCAATGGTTTGTGAAAATGTAAAATAGTTTCATGAAAATTTTAAAATTGAGGAAATATTTAATGTTCACAAGGCTGGTTATTTAGGTTCAAAACTTGTCATGATATAAGATAGCTTAAATCTACATTTAAAGATAAAGTCTGAGTGAAGATTTGAATGCTGCAACATTGTTCAATGATGAATTCAATTCATTGTTTTCAAAATCGAACTTGTCCTCTGACCAAGTGTACAACACTAATTAATAAGGTCTATTGTGAAAAATGCTACTCTTGAAAACACTTGCTGCGTAATCTGAAAAATCAACTAGACATAAATCTAGTAAAGAACAACTTACTATTATGACGTGTTCAAATGCGACTGGTATACATAAGATCAAACTAACTGTTATTGGGAAAATTAAGAAACCAAGATCTTTTAAAAGGACAGAAATGAGATATTTCTCATGTGATTATTACCACCACACAAAATCTTGGATGAACCCGATTATTTTTAGTGAATGGTATTTCACTGTTTTGGTACCATCTGTAAAAAATTTCAGAAAGTAGTTGATGTCCTTCTGAATTTCTGCAAACAAGAAAATTTTGACTACCATGACATTATTGGTTTAAGAAAAATAAGAAGTGAACTAAGGAAAATTTTTTCAAACCAAAAAAATCCAAGACTGATAATTTCATATTTTAAATTGTGATGACTTGTTATACATAATATAGATGTATAATATTATTGTATGTATCTCTAATTATAATTAATTAAAATATTTCATTATTATAAAAAGTCACGATTAACCGTGGTTTTCATATATCCGTGAGACCCCTTTCCTACCATTACTCCTGATAATCGAAGTTCCACTGTACAAATGATTATAAATAATGGATTTATTGCAATATTAATTTTATTTATGGCTTCAATTGCTACTAATTTATTGATTTCTTAAATATTTATTAATTCTTATTAGTTAACATTTATTATATTTATATATTAAATTAAACAATATGTTTAATTAATTTATGAAACTTTTTTAGGTAATGGATAGGTGTGATCTGAATAAAATGACTTCATCTAACTTAGCAGTTGTATTTGGTCCAAATTTAGTACGCAGTCCAAATAGTCAGTTATCTTTAGCTGCGATTGGTCCTATTAATGCTTTTACTGATTTTGTACTTGTTAATCATGACCAAATATTCATCATATAATCATTGTATAGAACTTGTAAAGTATTATTTTATGACAAGGATAATTAACATTCCATTACATTTAAACATTATTTTTGGTTTACATTACCACTTACATTGTCAAAACTGATTTCATAATCAATTAATTTATTAATTTACTTACCAATGAGTATTTCATTTAATATTTATAAGTTGTATTTTTTATTTTTTGCTGTTTACTGCTAATCTAAAAAGTATTTAATTAAAAGTATTACATTCAAAATAATTAATATTCAAAACATAATAGTATTTCTTATGATTTATCGTTTAAGTATTAATAATAATAACAATAAATATACCAAGTTATAAATAACAATAAAACATTTTTAAAACTTTCTAAAATCATTTTGTTTTAAAATATTTCATAGTAAAAATAAATTTTAAACATTGATTTGAAAACATAACTTTTAATAACATTTTATGTTGAAGTAGGAAATTTTCAATTAGTTGGAGGACTAGTTTATTAAAAATAAAATAATAAATTCTTGTATTTAGAAAATATTTTTTATTGATTCTGTGGTAACACTCATTTTTTTAAATTGTATTTTAAATCATTCCGTTTCATTTGTTTACTATAAGCAATAATTAAATTAATTTGTTAATATTAGATAATATATAAAAATGTATTTTTTTATTATAATACATTATATAAAATTCAAACTCTTAAACATATTTAATGATATTTTACCTAACTTTTTTTTTCTTTTTTAATTGTTTAATTGTATTTCAAGCAGTCAAAAAATAGTTAGTTTTCACATTATTAATTTATAATATTCCATTACATAAATCACCGCATCACTGCATCAATACATCACTGTGTTGGTTACTTGTTTTTTTATTCAGAGCATTGTTTATGCATATCTATTAATGTATCTTTAGGCAATAATGATTTTAGTGTATGAATATATTTGTTTTAGCCTAAGATATATCTGCTATTAAAAAATTGTGTATGGTTTAAAGTGGTGGTTAAGGTAAAATAGATGAGTTGCCAATATTCTATTATTTTTTTCAATATATTTATGTCTCTACTTAATTATATTTAAAAAAAATTATCCATTCACAATAGTTGATACTTATTTGGACATAATTCTTACAAGTAATGATCAGATTTATACATTGAATAAAACACTTTACTTTTATTATTTTAAAGTAGAGAATATATAATCAGATTTTTTATTTAATTTAAAATTAACAATTAAATGTATTCTATATATTTAATTTAAAATTTATTTATTTATTACTCATTTACTTCAAACCACTCCAGTCACAGAAATTATTTATAATACCATGATCATAATCATAATTTTCTTATAACTATTATTTAATTATTAAAATACCATTTGTGGTATTTAATAATCTACTGAGGATATAGTAATACTTTGTTTTAAACAAAATCTCTTATAAAACATTTGTTTTGTATTATATTTCAATATTATTTCATTTGAAAGGGCTGAAGTAGTTTCCTTAATTAGATTGTTAAAATTGTAAACATAATATATCAATTGTAATTTATATAGATACATTTGTATTCATACTTTAACATGTGTTAAGTTATAACCTAATATCAAATTGCTTTTAATCATGTATAGTAATGTGAAAAAACAACTCATTGTTTAAAAACCAGAACTTTTATGTTTGTATACCAAAGATTTTGTGTATTATTAATTTATTAATATCATTTATTTTTAGTTTATTGGAAAATTATTATTACTGATTGTTACCTAATTTATATACAGTGACAATGCATCCATATATTCTGGTCAATTAGTTTATAATTGAAACTTAGTGATATTTGTATATTATTGTTTTAATTATTTAAATCCATTTCAGGAGGTTTTGTACACAGTAAAGTATATCAATATTGTTGACACATTATATGTAATTGTATTTTTTTTTCACCTCATAAATTACCTATAGTGGATATAAAACTTTCATCAAGTGTCCTTGTATACATATTATACCTATTACAAAAATTAATAATTTTGTGTAAAACTCACCAAGTTTACTGGAAATGAAATATTTTTAAAAATAGAGTATAAATAAATTAATTTATTTATATATACACATATTTATATATTTTAATATGTTATAATAATTGCACACAAAAACATAAATTTATAATCTATTAAAACTTAAATTGTATTAGGCATACTTGAGTTTGTATATCACAGATAGTAAAGTTACAATGTTCATAAAGAGATTGGTTAATTCAAAATAATTTCGACTTAATCTCTTTTATACTGATTAATATGTTTCTGCCAGTCAATTCCATTACAAGGTAACTTGGACTTGATAAATGGTGAAATCCACGTTATATACCATTTTTCTCCAAAAACATTTTCCAGATTATGTGTTAAGCCAAAATTGTATTGATCATCTTGTTTTTCATGGCATACTTGACCTTTGCATACCTTATCCAAGTGATAAATTAATAACAATGTTGACATGGATATGGCTACAAGATTCAATGCAAGTAAAACTACAAAAATTTGGCCTATAGTTAAATGGAAGCCGGTTATTATTGACTGGATCGGTATTAAAACCATCAGGTCTGAAAATTGAATGGTTACTTCACAGTATATATAGTAACCAATCAAAATTATCTCATAAAAACTAGCTGTCGAAAAGTACAGCAAAAACCACAAGAAGTACCGTCTGTTGTAATGACCCACGCATGTTGTGCTAAAAGTACAGTGATGGTCTCTAGTCAAAATACAAATGTCGCATACGTCACAATGCCAACATCTTAGAGGCATAGCACATTGGCAAATATTGCAGTACATAATATTATTATCTGGAAAACGATAACAGTATTAATATTTATTCGAGTTTTTTTTAACAACCCCATATTTATATTATGAATATGTACATTATACAATTGATTAATAATAATAGTATGTATAATCAATTTATTATACTCATTACATACCTGTTGATGCGTGTTCAGACAAAATAAGCAGTCGTCCCACTATCGACGAATCTGCATATATTACAGCAATGAAATTCGTCAATATGTTGAAAACCATAAATGTTAAAAGCAGCACATGCATCAAATACCAGACCGATGGAAGCTGATACATGTACGGTAATATGTGAAATACATCAATACAATAGTATGTAGGTATCAACACCAACAGGAAAATGCATAATATCATTTCTACATAACTCTTTTTTCTCACAGCCTTCAGAAATTTCCATAATGGGTTCAAAATCCACATGATCTGAACACACTCACTTTTTCTCTATCACTCGGTTGACGTTGTCCGAGTGTATCTATACTGCTAAAGATGCTATGGTGCTAGTACAGAATAGATTAAATATAATTTATTCTGTGTTGCTAGTGAGGGGTGTTAGTGTAATTTGAGTAAATACTGTTATCAGCTTGTCTCAATCAATTGAAACATTTACTATGGTTACGCATGCAAACACGTAAAACGCGTATATTATTAAGACGTATTCTATATAGACATATAAGGATATATCTATGGTCCTGTCTCTTACAACAACTTGTAATTAAAAAAGTACTTGTACAATGTCCAAGGGACGTCAATTCATATTTTTCTAAGGGATGAAAATTTAATAGATAAGAGTATAATTAAAATACCTATACTATATTTATTGATAATTGTCTAAGTATGTCCATTAACAATGGTAGATTCTCAGTGGTGTAGGTAAAGATTATTTATGAAGGAGAGGGAGTTTGATATATTTAGGTAGGTAATAATTGTTTTTATTTACTAGAAGGAAATTGGCAAAGGGTTTACCCTCAATCCCCCTCCCTTACCTACCCCACTGTACAATACACTATACAGAAAATATTTTCGAGAGGGGCTACTTTGAATAGAGTTAATATACAACTGCTATCTAAGAATTACTAATAAGACACAGTAGGTACTTATCTACATTTCATTTACAGAAAGTCCCAAAACGATTTGACGTTGGACACAAATTCTAAATAAGCATAAAGTACCATTAAAATATAACATACGTTTAAATTAATTTTTAAGTTTTTTAAAACATTTTTTTTGGGGGGGGGGCTGTAGCCCACTAGGCCTATGTAAAAATATATCGAAAAGAATTTTTAGATGCAAAAGCTCACCGTTGTGCATGGTGCATCACACAAATGATCCACTGACGGTGCACACTAGTCTGCAACGGTTTCCGAAGCATGTTCACTAATATCAATGGTGCGAATTTAATGATTTTACATAATACGAACGACAAATTTTTGTATTTCTTCTTGTTACAATTACAGAATTCCGATTTGAATAAATTTAGCTATAGTTATGACTAGAGCTCGAATGTTTATGACTTGGCAAATTTTTTTAGCGCAATCAGAATTATACCCTAATATAATATTAATTTGATTCATGAAATCTCGAATGCAAATATGCAAACTTATTTTAAATATTTTTGGATATTTGACATTTTTGAACATATAAATGCATATATCGATTGTTTTTAGATTAAGTAGCATATATTTTATAAATTTTATGCATAATACTATTATAACTATTATTATAAATTATTAATAATTACTGTTAATTGTGTCATTTTCAGTCTACAAAAACTTATTGTCGGATCGTCAAAGGTCCTTCAAGTTTCAAAATATCAGCAAAATTATTGTTGTACACAATGCTTAAACTAGATAAAATATAACTTTAATAGATCGAAAACTAATATTTTTTTTTCATATTTATAAGCTGTGTTTTTTTATAATGAAGTAATTTTAAAAACACATTCAAAAGAGTAAATATATTTTTTTAATTAATATTAATTATTTTTTTTGCATATATTTGTTAAAAAAATAGATATATTTAATAAATTGTATTGCATATAATTGCATATTTTGACATTTTATACAGTATATTTTTATGAAATTTTGATCATTAACATTTAAGCTCTAGTTATGGCATTTAATTTTATTTATTTTAGATGCTGGTGGAAATACATGAATGTTAATTTTATTGGTTGTATTGCATGCTTGGATACATTTTTCTGGTTAACAAGTTAAAAATCACTTATGAAAATGAGAACCATAGAAATGAGTCACACAATTGCATACTCAGAGTTTATATTGAATACATTTGATGATAATATAAACTGTAATTTGAGGATGTTTCAGAAAATAAAAATAGCCAAGTTAGATTCACATATTGATAAGCATTTGTATCCAACACAGCACTCGGTTTTCAAGTAATTTGGTTGAACTTTTTTTTTTTATAAATAATTCTTAAGACATTTTTAGGGCCATCTAGGATGATGAAAAATATTAAATGTGATTTTCAAATCACCTTTTATACATTTATATACGTATAAATGTAAACATACTTTAAATAATATTGTTTAGAAATAAAAAAGAACAATAGTTTGACTTGTTTGTCTTTTATTTTTATAAAAATATCAAATTTAACAGTATTCATACATGTAAAAATGTTATATATAATATTAAGATGAAAATATTACATTAAAACAGTAAAAAAATATCTTTCATTAAAAATAATAACATAATAATTGCCATATCCCAAAAATAATAATATACATTAATGTATTATATCAGATTAAAATTTAATACAATACAAAGAATATTTATGGCACAAATATTTTAAACAAGCTAAAGGTAATCTTAGTTAAATAAATATTAAAAATTAGCAACAATAATTTGATATAAAATACTTTTTATTAATAATTAGAACAATATTGGCATCACAGAGTGGTGGACGAAAATTATAGCATAACTTTTGTTATTATATAAAAATGATACTTGAAACAATTAATAATTTTGGATAGAAACTACTTTCTTTAGTTATGCAATTGATAAATCACTTTTATGGCAGTTTCAATTGTAATTATAATTAATATAATTCACTTAACAAATTCATAAATATTATATTTTTATTTTTTTTTTAACAAGAAAATATACTTAATACTTATTTAAAAATATGTAATTTTAAAAATTTAAATTTACTAATAAATTGTTATTTTTTCACATCATATACATCTGATAAGTTAAAAATATTTTATAAAAATTATCAAGCCTTAAATGAGAATAAGGTAAATTCATAATAGTTAACATTAACATCTAGCACTGAAAAAACTCAGGTATGGCTGGTAATCATGACAATATTTAAAAACTTATGAGTAAAGCTCAGATTTTAAGTGGATAAATAAAGAAAGCATTTTAAATGTGGTAAAAGATCAGTTAATCAATTTATATATTTAAAGATTCTAAACTACCACCATTATAAAACCATTTTGATAAGATCAAAAAAATCAAATTAAGAATATAAATACAATAAAAAATCTATTTATAAGTAAAATAATTGGAACAATTTTTATTTATTTATTGTAATTGAAATTAAATGCATATCAGTGCTGAAATGCAGAAATGTATATTCTGATAAAATTGAAAAATCATTTATTTTAAAATCTAACTCCTAGTCATCAGAAACAGCATTAGTAACTACTTATTCTATATGTCTTAAATTGAGCTCGAAAATAATGGTATTTTTTTCTTACTTGTGTTCTATTCAAGCACCGATTTCCTTGTAGTCTAATACTTTATTGCACTTGGTAATAGATTCCTGATTTTAAAGCATGTATGATTGACCATCAGGTTTACTATCTAATCATTTACGTCCCATTTGGGTTCGTGTTTGAAATAACTCCCTGATAAGAGTGGCTTTTTCTCTCTCTAACATTGATATCCTTTCACTCTTCTGTCCTAATTCCTATAAAAACATACAATAAAATATAAATTTCATCTATGATATTATTATATAAAAATTGAATTGATAACAAACTTCAGTAAGAATATGGTTTCGATGCTTTAACGTAGCCATCACTTGAGGATTTTGATTTAACATTGTTCCAGGATTATTTGATGAATGTACAGCCAAGTTCATATGCAATGGTAGACCACCCCATCTTTCACCACCATCTGTCAATGCAGATAAATGTCTATTGACTTCTAAGACTCGAGCCCGCTGTAATTCAATACGTTCTTGCTGTGCTTCAGTCCATTGATCTTGCTTTAATATTCAATTCATTAGTTAATAATTACAATTGAATGATTTAGTGTTAAACAAGCTTACAGTGTGTGAATTTGTACGTCCAAGGTATTTCATTTTTTCTTGTACTGCGGCTATTTGTTTATGGTACCAATCTCTTGCTCTTTCAACAGCTTGAAGACCATGCATAAGGACTTCTTTTTCTTGTTCAACTTGTTTTATTCTTTTAAGCTATATTTTTGATTTAAAAAATTATTTCATAATAGAACTATTATAATATTGTGTTGGGATAAATCCAGGGGTGCAATTGAAAATTGTTAAATGGAGGGGGACAAACAGGAATATTATTATTTTTATTATATTATAATATTATTAATTATCATGAAACATGCTATCTATATACATAGTATTTGATAGTAAATACTTATAAATAATTATAATTTATATTTTGAATTACTATATACGTATAATCAAAAATATTAAATAAAAGAAAGAAACTTAATGGAGATAGTGATTACAACGCCAGTACCAAAGGTGGGCATTAACTTGTTAAAAAGATAAAGTTAAGTTAAAAAGTTATTTTTTTTTTTACTTTTTAACTTAACTAGTTAGTTTATTTTCTAATAAACTTTTTAACTTAACTAGATTAACTGGCAGTTTAAATAACTTAGCTTTTTACAATTTAAAAAAAATCTATCAAGTTAAAATTTTTTTAAATTTTTCGTTTATACGTAAATATTAATACAAAAATTAAATAATCATGTAATGTAAAATGGTCGCATATATTGTAAATCAGATGTCATATATGATTTTCTAGGTTGGGGGCCCTCCTTTATGTATTGGGTTCTGGATTCAGAATGTTATGTATAAAGAATTTTAACAATAAAGATAAATAAATATGGTAGCGAGTGACCCCTTGATGTATATTGTACAATGTCATAGTATTTTTCAAACACTTCAGCGCCACTGCAGTATATTATGATAACAAATTTAATAGAATTGTTTATTATAATTTAGGAAATAAATCTTTCTAAAGAACGAAGTCATTTTTTATGTGATCTACTTATTAATTAAAAAAATAGATTAACTTTTTATAAACTGAGTTAAGTTAATATTTTTTTCTTATTAACTTATAACTTATCGAGTTAAATTCATGAATTGTTAACTGTTAACTTTTAATTTATTGATATTGTGTTCTCTTAACTTGATTCGAGTTAATTATTTTTATTAACTTGCCCACCTTTGGCCAGTATCATAAATTTGCCCCTGGATAAATCTATGTTATCTTCGATAACCCATAGGGAACAATACAGCTCATTCTCTATACTCACCATATTGTAATCAACACCACTCTGGAGAGTATGACGTCTCGGTTCCCTTCTTCGTTGATTAATTCTTTTGTATGTTTGTTCACCTGTAAGTAAAAAAAATAAAAATATAAGTTACAGTAAAGTTCTGTTTATTTAAGTTTTTATTAATTACCCGATTGTTTTTCACTTCTAGAACTACTTTGATCATTTAATAATACTCCCAACTGCCAATTTTGCAAAGCTGTTCGTATTTCTGCTTTGTCGATTGTGCGTTCACCAGAGGCAAGCTGTAAACCACGCTCTAAGCCTGCTGCAGTTCTTGGAGGTTTGGGTGGTCCAAAAAGTGATGATGAAGTTGATTTTTGAGGTAACTGGTGTATATCTTTATTATTGCGCTCCAGAGCTAATTGTGGCATACTTAATGTTCTTTGCTGAGTAGGACGAATGGCAGCCATATTACCATTTGTCCACTGCACGTTGGGTTTGATGTCAACGTCCAAAAGTGGAGCAGAAGGAGGTCGTACAGAATCATTATCCCGACGACCGTTTTCCATTTGATTTCGAAGCAGACACATTTTTAAACCAGTACAAAAGCGGTCAAAAGATAACAATCCATTTGGTGGCGTTACCTTTCGAAGGCTATCCAATACTCCTTTTGGTAAACCTTTGGTGCCATCATCTTGCCATCGCGTTTCAATCTCTGTAATGGAAAAAGTTTAAGAATAATTTCCAGGGGAAAAATAAGAAAGCAATGAAAAAAAGTCTACCTGCGAATTTAACATAACCGGTCCTCTTGTCGTCCAATATGTCGAACAGCGTTCTCATAGACAAAACAAACTTTGGGGGTAGTCCTTCGGTGGCAGCATTTTTGACTTCTCCTACTTGTGTCGGAGTCATGACACAGTAATATTATCAGTTACGTATTGAAACTGTTGGGAGGAAAAAACATGTAAATTAAATTGTGTATGACTTTCGTTCGTAGTACATACCAAAACCATACAGCGACAACATTTATTACACCCCGATTGCAATCGCACACCATACGCGCGTGGACGATTCTAATGTGTACCTGCGCGGGCGAGCAGAATGCACACCGTGTTACTTACGCGTGCGTGGGCCGCTGGCGAATTCGAAAACGATATTTCGCGCGACAACGGCCGGACACGGGACGAGAACGAAGCCGACGGCTGTGGTGCGTGCGCGCGCGATCACAGACGGCCGCGACTCGATCTGTGGACGGACGGTGTCTCGCGTTGCCTGCGGCTAGAAAACGTGGTGCTGTGGACCCGACGACGGTGACGATGCGACGACGATGCTGCGATCACAACGGTCGTGATACGGCCGGCGGACGGCATGATGGTCGCTCGGTTCCCCGGCAGTAAGTGGACGACTATCGTATGGCGGCTATTGTGGACCCAGCGATCCGCTGCTGTTCTAGTCCCGCGCACTGCCTATTATTATTATTTTTTTCTCTGATGTACATGTACAGTGCCTACCGTACAGTGCGCCGTGCCCACCGACCCGTCCCACCCCGCCCGAGTACAGAACTGTTCGGTTACTGCAGCATGAGCGCGCGTGAACCGTTGTAGAGCGTGCAGGTATTTTTCGTATCAGTGCGTGTTCAACAGGTGCGCCGCCGCCCACGTACAGGTATTCCCCGTCGCGAAATCACGGCACCTCGACGAGCAGCTACTAGATCGCGCTCATTCGCACGACGGCGACGACGAAGTTCTAGCCGCGTTCCGTGACCACTAAGTCGTTGGAATCTGGGGACCTCTAGAGACCTGTATTAGACGGAATGCACTTTTACACGAATGTGTGTACTTATGCCGTAGGTTCGCGTGTACAACTATAATAACACGTGTTGATACTGTGACGTATTTACATAATACTCGTATGCCACCGTAAAATCGTCAGCGAAAACCAAGAAAAATATACGTCCAACCTTAAATAATAAAAAAACAATACCAATTAACAATCGAAAAATATAATGTAATAACAAAGATGACTCGATGAAATACTTTGGACTACACCCAGATAAAAAGCTGAGGTGAAAAATACATAAATCAAGGGTACACTATACTGAAAATGAGTGGCGGTTCTTGAGAAGCCACAAGGGGGAGGGAGGAGAAAATATTTTGCACATACTTATAATTAGCATACATATCCCATTTATTTTTTCCTATTGCTTGATACACGAGAAGTAATTTTATGTTCTAAAAACTCTATACCACAATGGAATAATATAAAAATATAGGTATCAATAAAAATATTAAAACAAAAATTATTTTTTATTCAAACTTAATTAACAGTCAAACTTTTAAAGGAGAAAACATTTTTGTAAATATTAAACAGTTATGACATAAAATTATCGCCAAAATAATTTTTAGTTAACCGTTTGCTCATTGATATTTTTAGTTTTTACACGGCTCAAGAGGGAGGACGGTTAACCTATCGCCTACTTCCCCCGTAAAACCGCCATTGCTGAAAATACTGTACCCATAATTAAATCACAGCTCAACCCTATGGATGAAATACTTTTTATTACCATACACAGCTATAATATAAGCACCAATAACCTATACATACCCACATAGACGTAGTAATTGGAAGCTCACTGAGAAAAATATACGAGATTCAAGGAAAACTTATTCATTGGGACTAATAAACCACAATATTAAATAAACAATTTAATTTATTTTTATTTAATTAATTATACATTATAATTTATCAAATATACCTACACGCTTTGTTAAGATAGGACCCAAAAGTGTTATAGGCACTACAATAATTATTTTCAGCTTAAAAAATGTACTTACACTAAGTGTAATAAAATAAAATTGATAAAAACCTATGATATTCTTTTTAATTGAACTCTCATTGTAAAATTTACCACAGAAAATATAACTAACCATTTTTAATGAAAGAGAATAGTACCTATATTTAAAAAGTTAAAATTTAAATTTGCTACAATTAAAAATATAGTAAAAAACACAGAGACCATTTTTATGAAAAAAACATCCATAATCAAATAGGTAATATATTAACATATTTGGGTATTTTAGACTTTAGATTTTACATTACAGTTTGGGATGCGCAAAAACCAGAATATCATTGCTTGGAATATATTTATTTTTATTATAATGTACCTAACTTTATCCTTCACGTATAAACGTATAACGTTAAAGATATTGAAAATTCCGTAATTATAACTATTTATAATCGTGGTGTCAACCATGAATTAGGATATTTATATTCGTAGCACGATGTAGATAAACAAATGTATTTACATCGTGATTCGTTGTGACAACATATACTCCATAACATACTGTAGAGAAGATTCTTCTCTATACAGTGGTTCATAATTATGTTGATGTTATGTTCTACACTCCATAACACGATTATAGATAGGATCTATAATCATATTCCATAAAGGGCAGATCTTTTGTCTAACCATCAGTTCCTATACCTACACAAAATTTCAAATTGCGTTCAAGGTCTTTTAAAATATCTAATGCAATATGACTAATAGAAAGTTTTGTTGGTTTTGACACTCCATATGTAATATTATCCACATTAATGCAATGGCGTAGACAAGGGAGGGGTCTAGGGGGCTATATCCCTCCCTCGTGGTCGTGTTTATGTAAATGTACTATACTAGTATACCATAATTTAAGTATTTTATAACTGTGAAACAAACTATTGTCTCAGATATTAATAATATACCCGTTTGTTATTGATATCTGTGACTCTCGTCCACTTCTATACTAACTAGATAAGCTACTCACGGCATTATCATTGAGAATGATGAAGCCTGGCCAGGGACGTATTTTAAGGGGAGCGAAGGGGGCGATCGCCCCCCCCCTCTTGAACCCGTATTTAAGGAATCGATTATATGAGTGATACACATTTCAATTTTTTTTAATGTGGATCATTTTATAACGAAATTAAATTACGCGTGGTTGTGAATACTGAATTGGGCTTTTTGTTGGGTCCATACTTAATAAAAAATTAAATAAAACACTAGTGAAACTTTCAAAATACAGACAGGTGTTAAAAAAGATATAAAAGTCGATTTTAAGTGGATCCGGCATTAGATTAAAAAAAAGAAAAAATAACCACAATTATTAAGGAATCACCTGATTTAAATATTAACAAAAATTTTACTTGTAAATGTTGAGCCTGAATTAAAGAAATAATTTGAGTCGCCCCTTCTAAAAGTAAGTCTAAATACGCCCCTGAGCCTGGCGGGAATGCTTTTATCATATATTCATCATGTTTTCGGTTGGCAAAAAAATATTAAACATTTGTTGGGTACTATTCTTACTATTTCTTTAATGAGTCAAATTTAAATAAATGAGAAGACGTAAAAGTTATAAATAATCAAGGGGAAAAATAGTGTTTACCACAAAAACTATATTTTTCACGTCCTAAGCGTTTTTAACATATTAGTTTATAATAAAAACATCAGTACCCGGAGCCGCGTTTAACGGAGGGGCAATTGCCTCGGGGCAGTAAATTTTTGAGGATTAACATAAAATAGAAAATATATAATTATAGTTATTCTTGTATGATTGTATGTCATCTCTTTAAATATTAAATATAGAAGATGATCTTTTAAAACAGACTGATTGGTCAGAAATTATCCACAAGGTCGCAACAATCAAATCAAGGAAAAAATTAATCTAAAAGAAAAGTAGTATAAAAAGTAATGAATGGATTATATTTTGTCACTTTTGGTAATTTTTTAAATTTATGTGAAGTATAATTAATATTTACATAAAAAAAAAAGTATAAAAATGTATTAAAGTATAATTAATATTTATAAAATTTAAATATATTTAGTAATTTGTAAATGTATTGCTCTTGCATAGTACACTTCTATCCTATCCTATCCGTTAATACGCTACTGACTATAATTAATAGTGCGGTGTTTATAATTTTGAATTGTAATTTTCTTAAGGGCAGCATATCTTAATTAGCCCAGGGCGGCTACATTGCGACACTGACACATATTATTAAATAAAACTAAATTGGTTAATTTATGTAGTTAACTAATAATATTTGAAGTTTTGGCTTAAGTAGTTAATGAACTAGTAAGTATTAAATAATTTAAAAAGGATATTTCATTTCTGATATATATTTCTTTTAGACCCCAAATTATATAAGATATGATTTTTTAACTATTCAAATTATTTTTTAATTATTTTTATTAAAATGGGTGACACTAAGTATTTTATTTTTCTTGAAAAAGTTTAAGAAAAATCATATATAGTTAATAAAACTTCTATTCAAGGGGAAACAAACAATTTTAAATCATTCTCAACAAATTTATTGGAATTAGGTTTTGGTTTCATAGTTGCCAAATCAAAAAATATGAAGGTAATTTATATAAAATGTGCATATATTTGTAAATAATGGTTGAAACCTTTAAAAATATGAAATATTAACAATAAAATATTTTGACAGGAAAAAATTGTTAGTACAGGTTTTCATTTGAATGTGAAGAATTGTTAATAAAATGTATTCCGTTTTTAATTATAGAGCATATTTATTATGAATGTGTAAACGGACCTCATCGTAAATCCAAAGATCCAAATGATATAAATGTAACAGCAATACTAATAAGATTCTACAGTAAAATTATTGTTACTTAAAAACATATATTTCTTACTCTAATGACTATATTTTACTAAATTGTGATAACAACAAAAATGATAACATGGTAATCTAATCGACTGCGAATAAATGGCTATGGTTGTTATCAGGCACAACCGACCAGAAAGTGGTAACGAGTGTCGATCTTGTTTTTTGGAAGACCGATCGTTCGGGGAAACGCTGTGCCGATCGGCATGACCTTGCACACTTTCGACGAACACGAACAATTGGTGATAAAAAACTCGTTTCTACGTTCTGTTCAGTGGAGACAGTCAACAGCTGTGTCAATGCATTATCATAGCAGCTGTGCTGAGTATTTTGTCAATTTTTCCCCCTCTTCCCTGCTACAGCGGTACCTGGTCACCTGGTCGTTCAAGCCACTCGCCTCCGACGCACATCTTTTCACCAGTTCAGTCAGTCGATCGTTTACCCGCTGTTCTGTCAGTTCTTATATGTTTTCTCCTCTCACACGTTTTCATGTATATTTATATATATATATTTATATATATATATATGTATTAATTATAGTAAACTAATAAATAATATTAATATTATATAATATATATAAATATACATATATATATATGTACATATAGACCCACACCTCGCACCGTACCTGAAACCGTCGCGTTCTAAACCCTTTCACGTTATTTTTTTTTTCGTTTCCCTAGAAAAAGTAACCACCACCCGTCGTCGTTAGTTTTCGTAAGGAAAATTTTTTTAAAAATACCAAACACAATCCCGTACAAAACGTCCCAACGGCGTACGAACAGGACACCGTTGTTCGTCCCAGTTCATTCGGTAAGTACCTACGTGCCCATTGTGTGTGGTCACACACGGCTCACATGTTTTCCGTGAGATCCGTCGTACACTATGCACACATAATATAGCTTTGGTGTTTTTAACACAGTACTATTATTATTTTTATTTCTGTAAAGCACGTCGCGTACTACTCTTTCGTTCTCGATTTGTCCGTATTAACACGCGCACGTAGACGAACCCGGTGGCATTGGAATAATATTGTTATTAATGTTACCTATTATTGTTAATATCATTATCGGATCTAAAGTTAGTATTAATAGTATTACCGTTGCCTTCCTGCATGTGTGCCAAGCATAAGTCGTGTTGGAAAACACGCGCTTGTGTTTACTTGGTGAATGTGCTTGTTGTTATTTTCGTACGTAATAATTATTACCTAATTCTTTTATTCTTCACAGCAGAACCGTTGTAGTGGATTTATAACAATTAATTGACACATTGTTTAATATTAGAATGATATTAGGTACAATTATACTTAGTTCATCTGTAGGTAGTAGAAGTTATAGTTTTATTTTTTTTTTATGACGTCTGCACTTATATTTGTAATCCACCATATTTAATATAATGTTTATGTGTTATAATAAATCGTTAAGACATTTAAAACTAAAAATTTAACTTGATGACCAGTGTGCAATACTGCCATGTATAAGTATATATGTAGGTACAAATTATAAATTCCATGAGAAATCTGATTCAATAAAACTATTTAGTTTTTAGAATTTATGTATTTTCTTTACTTATCCATACAAATAAATGCAACTTCATTAATTGTAAAATATTTTATTTGATAGTCATAGGTACATACTTTCATGTAAATTGATTCTAAAAATGATTTTTAAATAAAATAATTGACCATGATTATTGAAACAATTTTATTATTTTGTTACTCGTTTTGATATGTATGATTATGTACTTTTGATTATTTGTCTAATGTTAACTAAACTGTTGTAATTTATAGCAAAATGTAAGTTTACTGTAAACAAAACATTACAAAAATGTATGATAATTTATTATCATTATATAATCGATTATTATTGAATCATATAAATTTAAATATTAAAAGCTAATAAAATAACAAAACATATTTATACAATTTTATATATAATTATAATTATATATATATATATATATATATATATATACAAATTAATTTCAATTATTATTTTCAATTAATTAATATTTTATATTGGTAGTTAACTGTACTAAATATAGAAAATATTTTAATATTATAAAACTTGTTGGTATCTTTATAATTTAATAAAAGATAAATTAAATTTGAATGTACATTTAATCATAGAAGCTAAATCTTAAATCTTTCTTTTTTCATTCATATTTTTTGAACTTATTATACACTAGTATGGTTATATACTATTTTTATACAATTACTAGTCTTGTATGCATTTAACGTGGCCTTGATAGCCCTAGGTAATTGTTAACAGTTCCTCAAATTCATTGAAATTAAAAGAAATTGTTTAGTTACATAAAATATTTTATTATTTAAATTTTTATTCAAGTTTTTACAAAATATATGATATATCTTAATATTGTTTAATTTAAAATTAAGTAGCACGTTAATGTTAATGAAAAACATGAATATCATTATCATTAATTTGAAAGATATATTTTTATGTCTAGTAGTTTTTATACCCTTATGGAAATGTTATATAGAACAGTTTTAAAATAAAATTTTTGGATTTATTAACAGGTACAAATAATTCAATAGTATTGAGTCAATGTGTATTGTTCTAAAAATAAGCTGTTAAACAATAATATTAAGTGTTTTATTTTGTTTATTTTTTATTATTAAAACTATTTTCACGATATAGACTGATTTTACCTCCAGAGTACATACACTTATTTAAAAGGTTTTTTATTGGGGTTGTATATACGTACAAAATGCTGATTATTTTTTGTTATTAATATGGATTGGATTATGGAGTCTGCAATAACTTCAAATTGTCTTGCCTGCTATAAAATATCTAAAATCGTAACTATTCTTTTATTATAAAATTAGTGTTTTGTTTTTTTAAGTAATAGGTGTACACCATATAAGAGTTACAAGTTTGAATGCTCTTGGTTTGACACCACAGAAGTTCATAGAATGATGAAGCAATCCCTCGTAAGATTTATTTTTTATCATGGCTTGTACCTATATTTACAGATTGTGATTAAATAATAAAATCTATTTTATTTTAGTAGCTATTGATTATATTTTATAACACATTAATGTCTTAATTTTTATATATAATTGGTTTATGTATATCTACATTATAACTAATTTTTTTACTATGTCAACTATAGAATTTTTTTTTTTTTAAATTAATTTGTACAATAATTTTCTTGCACTTAACGTTGGTTACTAAAAATAAATAACAAAAAATTTAAAAATGTTTACTTAATTTATTTATTTTTTTCATTCAGTTCCTTAGAATTTGTTTTAAGTAATATACCTAATTATTACTTATTATTAATACTCTATTATTAAATGATTTTATCTACTTTACTTAGAAAGTGTATCAATTTATTTTGATGATAATTATTCAATTTAATTTCATAGACAATTCTATTGACATTATTGATTATTTATATGTATAATATTTTTAGAATAAGTATAATAGTTTATTGAAGTTTACAAACTGCTTTATGTTTTCAAATAAATTGGATTAGGTATCTTGCTACAGGTAAGAATCTTATGGAAAATATTCAAGAACATTTAAAATGATATAATACATTTCAAATAATAAAAAGATTTTAGAAGTACAAAATTAGTATTCATACTTAACTATTAACAATTATTATATTATTCAATATTTTTTGTATTCTGAGCAATTGATTATTGATATAACACCCCATTTATAATTATTATTAGTACTTTTAATGGAATACCTGTTACTTGAATAGAATACCGGTTTTTGTTATCAATATGTTTAATAATAGTTGATAACAATTTTTTCTTAATGCTTTTGCTAGAAATGTGTTTCCATGGTTATTAATGTTATTAGTTATGAAGCGAATTAATAACTAGGTATGAGTAGGGAAGTAGAAAATTATAATCATTCAATAATTAATTTACCTTGTTACTAGATTATTTTTATAATTTATCTCTTATAATTTAAACTTTAAAATAATACAAAATGTAATATGTATTATTTTTAAAGATAATTATCGATATATTTCGAGCATAAAAAAGCTGTTTATTCGTAATTGAATGTTAAGGTATTATAAAATTTAAGAATTTTACCATTTGTAAATTAATATATCAGAATGTTAAGCTGTAGTAGTATTTCGTTTTATTTTAAAAAGTATAGTGTTTTTTATTTATTTAAGTGTACTGAAATTTATTTAATTTTTTAATAGATAGGTAGCTACTACTATTTCAATATCAGAAATTGTTTTATAGGACATTATATTATGTTTTACGTGTTTTTTTTTTTTATGTTATACTTAAATCAACTGTCAATCGATGGTCATAATATATATTACACTTGTTTTATTAATTCAAAACTTGTACATTCTCGTGAACTGCATAATAATATATTATTTATATTTATACATTTTAATGAAATACAAGAGAAGTGTAAATTATGAATAGGAAATGCGATAGCGTTGATATAAATTGTTATGATGTAAGTCAATTAAAATTCAAAGTGTAAGTAGATATTGCGTTTTTGGCAAATAAAATATGTTCAGGTAATGTTGAGGCACTGCTGTTTAAAAAATACAACTACTATTCTTTGCCATAATCTAAATTAAGACTGTTTTGATATTTTCTCATCTTTAATAAAAATAGAAATTAACATCATTACATTCTACTACTTATTGGAATAACATATTTGAACGTTACCTATGTCAAAAGTCACTTTCGGATAAAATATTTGTCTATTTTAACTCCAGGATGTAGGTACTATGTAGTTAGAAAGTAGTAAGCAACTTGACATATTACTATACACATATAATAGTTTTTTTTTAAGTTATTGATGAACCATTGAATGTGTTATATAATTATTTATCCTATAGCGAATATGTATACGGATAAATGGTAATAATAACAAATTACATATTTATGACATAGTGAATCGTGTTTTTATATTAACAAATATAATGATTCATATAGAATCAATATTAATTTTTTGGCCACGGATTTCAATTTATTTTTAATCAATGAAAGTTGTTCTTTTAATTATGTTCTTATAGTTTTGTGAATGAATTCTTTGTATTTTGATAGTTAGAATTTTAAGGAGTGAATAAAGTAATGTGAATTAAAGTTTTCAATTGTTTTATTAGTTGTTTTGAATCTAGTAATTTTTGGAAAATTTTTGGTTAAAAAAAAACTTCAGTTTTATGCGATTATTAAATTACCAGTTATTTACCCACTGTTAATGGAAAACAACCTTATTTGTAAAGTAATAGAAATTTAGAATATTTTTCCTTGCAGTTACTGTAATTTAACTATCGTACACTAATCTATACAATAATGTGAGTATAGTGCACAAATAAATTGATATATTATTGAATGTTACGTAATGAAAGTATAAAACAATGAGACGGTGTCACTTTTACAAGACAATAAGTATTTCAAGAGTTTTAATAAATCAAAAACAAGTGCTCAAATATTTTATTTTTGTATATAAGTAGAGATTTATACATACGCATAACCTGAATACAGGCTTAAAAATATTTCATTATAATCGATTATTAAACGGAATATTTTGCCTGTTATTTAATAGTTTTGATAAATTCCTAGGAATTTAAGTTTAAAAATAAAAGAAGTTATCACATCCTGTGTGATAAATGATAAATCATAATTAGATAAATAATTAGTGATTAAAGTTATTATAATACTTTATAGTTACCGAATTATTTTTAAGATATCTGTAATTTCTATTAAATATGAATTTATTATACCTACCATAGATAATATTAAATTACAAATCCCCACAATTTGATGTATTAATTGTTTTAATAGATAAATAATAATCTATATTTAAAACATTACTATGAACTGTGTGATGATTAATGATTAAAATCATTGAAATACTAATAAGAAATAATTCAATGATGTAATTGTACTTGCATATTTTATAAGGTTAAATTATGATATAGATCCATTTTTTTTAAAATCTTATTTAGTTCAAAAATAATTTATTGTGTACTTAATTGCAATCAATCATATTAATTAATAATATATACATGTATTTCGATAGTAAGTTAATAATTTTGCAAAAATTAAATTTTCCATTTTTTTTATTTTGCATGAGATGTCTGATTTTTATAGGTCGAATATATGAAAGGTTGTATCGTGGTACCTATTAAAAATCAATCTAGTATTTTCTTACTCATTAGATCCTATTGTATTGTTTATTCTAAGTCATTCAACTAGGTTCAATTAGTTTTGATTATATCTACTATGTAGGTATATTACCTTCACATTGTACATTTTTTTAAATGACACATACTTAAATAAATAATTTTAATCATTTAATGCTAGTTATTAAAATAGTTTTATTTGTATTGTGTTAAATGGAATGTTTAAAACAATATTATTGATATGTATTATATTTTTGGTCAAGTAATTATTATCTGTTTATGTATCTAGGTATATTATTATTTATATAACTATTGGCAGTTAGTAATTATAATAATATATATATATATATATATATATTAAAATTTTTATTCGTTACATGTATTTTACCAGTATTAAGAAAGTTCTTTTTCAAAAGGAATTTGTTCCCGTTCCTTGTTTCTGTGAAAAATAAATTTATTATGATTGAAGCTGTTGTCAATGTTGTTATTTTTAACCTAACCTTTAAATCTGATTTTATTGTTTAATTTTTAAAGTCAAAACCTTTCCCAATAGTTAATTAAACCTAGATTAAACTTAAAAGGTATTAGCTTTTGCTTTTTGTCCATTTACAACGGTCAGTTAATGCAAAAAAAAAAATTATAAAAAAAGTGGCCGAAAACAGAATTTTTAAGTCTCAAATTTTAACAAAATTTGGTTTACATAGTTTTTATCACAGTTGTAAAACCATAGTTTATTTTATTATATTAACGTAATATTATTTACTACTTTCTATGCATAGATAATAGATAGTAAAAAAATAGATAGGACAACGTCTTAACAGCGACAATCAGTGATTTCAATTGAGCTCAAACAAGTGTATAGACTCTTACTATTTTATTACTAAAACTAATATTTAGTAGAATATATTTAATATATTCTAGAAAATATAAATATGCATTTCATTTTTTTTTCGGAACGGAAATTTGCGTCTAGTTCTTAATAGGAATTTACTCCTCGTTCCTATATTTGAAAAGGAGCGCATTCCAAGCTTCGTTCCTATAAAAATAATGCATTCCTTCTTAACATTGTAATTTGCTCGCTAACCTTTAAAGCTGGTTTCATACGTAGCGGTTTAGTCGCGCGCAGTCGCGGTTATTTTCCCGCGGACACCTGCGAGCGATCGCGATGATTTTTATCGCCAAATTTTAATTTTTTATAGAGGACATTATGATTAGGTTAGTCGTGTAAGCTACGTGGTTATGTATTGGTTAATTTTAACATTTTTTTTTTTTTAAAAACATTAACAAACATTAAACAATTTGGAGGCTGTGTGTGTAATCTACGCGTTTTACAAAAGGCATACACATCCAAACGCGTTGAAAAGAAAACGCAACCATTGGGTTCACCCATTAAACTTAAAAAGGGTCAATGAAGGCCAATTTCAACAATAAACCGGTATTGAACATTTCAAAAGATCTCAATACGAATATTTTTTTATAATTAATGATTTAATAAAGATGATACATCGAGAGTAATTTTACAATTGACCCGTACATTCAGGAGCCGCGACCGTTAGCGGTAGAACCGTTTCGTGTGTATTTACCCATTAGGAATACCCAGTTTAATTTTAGCTAGCAGACGCGGTCGATCGCTTAAAAATTAAACATGAGTGGTTGGAGGTGGTTGTACGCGGCAAGAAGCAGCGTGGTTTTTCTCGTATGAATAAATGTATTTAAACATGGGTTTTCAATTTTAAGCGGTTTTTCGCAGCGGCTAAAAACCGCGACCGCGCGCGGCTAAACCGCTACGTGTGAAACCAGCTTAATAGTTTTACCATATTTAGTTTCTTAGTATTTTACGTTTTATGTTATGTGTACTCAATGCGGGTGAAAATTGTTACATTAACTAATCTCTATCTTTATAATATAGACGTTGTGTAACTGATAAACATATTTCTAAGTTAAACTATTTTGTTTTGAATATATTTTATTGTTGTACTGAGATAGTGATATTGACTATTGTTATTCATGAAACAATAGTATATAAACTATAATTGTTATTAATTGATTCATTTGAATTTTAAATTAAATTGAACTCTACGATTAACAGCTATTAGGAGAGACAGTATTCTTGATGTGTTTTTCTTAATCACTAAGACACTAATGTGATTGTAGTATGTATGATACAACGATAATTGAAATAACAAAATTATCGCCCTATTATAATGAGTTTCGAGAATAAAAATATATCGTTACCTACAATGAAATTGTATGATTTGTTTCTGAAAATGTACATAACATATGTTGCATGTATAAATACCTAGGTTGTAAACTTTTGTTTTACAAAATGTGTTTTTTTTTCATTTTATATTTTAGAAAGGGTTTAATAAAAATAATATATATATATATAGGAAATGTTAACTTCGAAATGTATTAAACCGAATATAAGCATCAGTTGTGTACATCTAATGTAGGCGATCCTGGAATATGTTTTATATTATGTTTACATAACGGTAATATTGGCGTTTTGCTTTTATTTATTAAAAAAATCGACAGTCTTAGGTTGTTTCACTTCAATCTGAAATTCGTAATTTGACAAATGATGCAATAATCACACTGTTATTACATTATAATTTAAGACCGGTTTACACACTACGATTTATTGTATGTATTATCGAACACAACTAATTGTATCAAGTAAAACAGAGCGTGTTTACAGCAAATCCTACGTCTTATCTAATCGGAATGAAATACAAGAATGGATCGAAAGACTGATGGGTGCGAATTCATTTTACGCAAAGTTAAACAAGTCGTAACATGTAAATGCAAGCTTGATGCAATGTACAACTTTTTGTCCTTTTTAGGATTTATTTTCTTTTACACCAGTGTTTCCCAACCTATGGGCCGCGACTAGCGACCATTTCCATCAGGAAGTTCAGTATTATGATTATTAATACTATATTATCATATTTTTTTTTAGGGCTGGGGTGGGTTGCGTAATCAACATGTGGGCGATTTGTGGGTCGCCATTACAAAAATGTTGAAAAACACTGTCATAGACTATTAAGTTTCAACAATTTTATTCCTTTTTTTTAGAATTATAATATAGTATATTAACCTATATTATCTAATAATCAATATACAATTTAATTCGAGTGGTATTTTTTTTGTTTTCTTATCTAATCAATAAATAAAAATAAGTTAGTAAATAAAATATAATGAAAATTATTTTTTATTTTGCCTTCCTTAAAAACATTACAGCAAAGCAAATAAACAAAAATAGTACTAATAGAAAATGATTTACGTACAAAAAATGTACGTACACGGCAACGTGAACAGAAACTCAATTCAGAATAATAGTAATTACTATTGTTTATTGCTAGTTATTTTATTTATTAAAATAATAGATTTCTTTCATAAATATTCCCGAATCTTATATATATATATATATATATATATATATATATAGACGGGATAAGAAGTTATGAAAATAGGTGTCTTCATAACTTTTAATGGAGTATACTATTGTCTATTATTTTTTCATATACGAGTAGTATATGTAAAATATTTTACGATATCAGAAAACTTAAAAACGTATATAAATATAATAATATGTAAATACCGTGAAACATATAATCTTCAAAAATTTGCTGCTGTAGGCACGTGCTCATAGTGCCTGCATATAAATGGGCATGTACCAATCGCACTGAAAATCGCAGGTAAAGAAAGAAAAATTAGGGGATAGGAAAAATGTATAGATCAACTGCGCCTATCGATATTCAAATGTAATATTATGTTGTATGTCAATTGCGCCAATCGATTCCTACAAATATATAAACGTGTATAATACACTGATTTTAGAATTTACTGATTAGCAGCATTGTACTTTTGTTAATCAATGGGTTTACGTTGTGCTCTCGTAGGTACGTTTGTAAACCATTATTTTTTTCATAATATTATTGATAAAATAAAATGTCAACAATTATTATGTGTTCTTAAAATAAATTCGTAATATTGTTCAGTATATTTCCACGCATTGTACATATAGTTTTCGTGGCTCGTGCTTAATTTTATTATGGAAATAGTTTTAAGTGAACGTGGTAAAGAAATTATTTACCAAAACTATAAATTTTCATGTAAAGAACTTACCTATATTTTTTTTCAGTTAGGCGGTTAAAAATTCTCCAGCGCAATTGATACATACCTTTTTTATATCGGCGCAATAGATGTATATTATACAGGTAGTTTCTTAAAATTGGTGCAATTGATGAACACCGATATAAATATGCCACTGGTTGTGTGTAAACCGACCTTAATAATATAATAATTAAAAATATTATGTTCACATTCCTAGGTATTTATTTCTCTAGCTGTTCATTATATAGACCAATGGATAATTAGATAAAGTTATTAATTATGAGTTTTTTTACCTAGATTGGTACATTTAAAAAAAATGTATTTGTTTATATCAATAATTTGGTGTCGAAAAGATAGATTTTTGTAAATAATTTGTCTTCTGGTTTATTTTGTAGTCGTTTTACATTTATTTATTTGGTTTATCAAAAATCCACCGAAAGATTAATCACAGTATATGTATTACGTATTTTGTTTTAGATTCAACTAGTTAGTGTATCAGTCTAAGGAAATGGGATGTAATGTTCAAAAAATTGTCACCTGGTGAGTAATTTAGTATATGCATTTCATACGATAGGTGTAAAATAATAAATATAACAAAAATAATAATATTAATAATAATAATAATATATTGATATTCTCCGATATAGGTATCAAAAGAAAATAGGAACCTATGATAAGCAACAGTGGGAAAAAACGATCGAGCAACGTATTCTTAGTGGGTTTACACATGTCCCAAAGAAAAATGCTAAATTGAAGACTGATCTTATTGATGTAGACTTAGTAAGAGGTAATTACCACGATAACAATAATAATAATGTACCTAACTATCGTTTCTAATAATATAATTCTGTTCACAACCTTGGCCTTGCTTCACAATAACTCGGGGTCTTGTATGCAGTCCCTGAGGTTAAGGTCTATTGATTTTTTTACCCAATGACCTTTTCCCGGAGCTAAATCAATACAATGCCAATGCCGTCACGCCAGTTGGTCCTCCGGCCGGTCCATATGATACCTGCCCTATCGCAGGAGATCGTTTATGTTATGTAACCGTATACGTAGTATGGTACATACTCGGTATTATTATAATAACCATTGTCTAACGGTCGGAAAATGGCGAACCACAGGGTTTAAATTCTGAACGTAGAAAGCAGAAAATTGAACCGTCAATATACTATCTTACTTTCAATCTCTAATTTTAACTTATGTCGATAATGATAAATAAAGAATTGAATATTTTATTTGATCTATCAAACTCAGAAGATTATGGCTGTCTTATAATTGAATCGGTCATTTCGAAAAGGATATTTCTCCATACATTTTCAAAACTAGTATTATGTGATAGATGTGTTTAACTAATAATAATGCATATTTCCTACGAGACCGCCATATCATAGTTGATTTTTTATAAAGGAATTAAATAATTCAACCCATTTTCAATTTTTATCTCTAAAAATAGTTTATTACGTTTCCTGACAATTTTCATTTTATGGAAATATGGCCTTTTCGAAATGACCGATTCAATTAATCTCGTACATTTTTCAAAACGTCGATGCGACTAATCGTTACAGTAATAATTTGTTTAAAAATATGTATTAAAATATATTGTTTTACTCTAAACCTCGTTTATTAATTACTTTAATCTTTCACGTTCCAATAGAAATTACCTACCGATCTCTTTAGTACTTTATTGTAAAACAATATTAATCAATCGTGTTTGAATCACGTTACTTTTGCAGGGTCGGCGTTTACCAAAGCAAAACCGAAACACGGATTTTTTACAGTAACTCGTCTAGCGGTCATCCGGCTATTGTTTTTACCATGCTATTATCGTTGGTATATACATCAGACGTCGTGGCGATTGTTTCTGTCGCTTTTATGCCTGTACGTTTTGCAGCTTGCAAACATTTTATTGTTTAGCTACTTTACGTTTGTTCCCGCCGAAGAAGACTTGCTGTCGGTATGTACTAACGATTCATTATTTATATTATTTTATTAAACACGAATGAGCATAATTTATATAATTAACGGATAGATAATGTTCACATTGCCTCGGTTACAATTATTGGCGATGAAATAACTAACAAGAATCTTTGTTCTCGGGTTTAATCTGTAAAAGTAAAGGTCGAGGATGATGTGTGATTTTCCGTGAAAACACTATTGACCTATTGTTTTATTGGTATTGCACGGTCTAACTGAATAATAGTAATAATTAGAGCTCAGGTTTTATAGTACTCAAAAGTACTAAAATATACGGTATAAGTATACGGTACGATAAAAAACATGATATACATCCAAAAAAATAAAACTACAATTTTAAATATTTAAAATTTGAAATTCTTGTTACTCAAAACATATTATAGTTTGTTCTATTGTTTTTATCAATATTTTATAATAATTGGCAAATTCTATTAAATCGGACTCCTGATAATAATATTGGCTGTACAAAAGAGTACTATTATTATTATACTGTTTCATGAGACTAATAATAGACAACGCACATTATGCGATAATCCGGGATAACGGTCAATCACTCTAAAGCTATGTAAGTGTGTATTACTTATAAATTAAATTCATTTAATAGTTTTATTACTAGTAAATAAAACGATTTTGGTATGCTGAGAAATTATGTAATATTTTAACGATCATAATAAAAAAAAAAGTTAACAATTAATGAGATTGAAAATGTTTCCGATACGACCTTTATACATTAGACGTAAAGGTCATAATTTCCAATTCATTAACAACTGTAATAGAATAAGTACCAAAGAGATATTTAATCAAATAGTTTACTTAAAGTACTTAGATAAATTACGTATTAATAAAATATCAGTTTTTTTTGACGTCATGACGTTGAACTTCATAGTATGCACTTGTGTATCTGCTGTGATTTCGTAATTGTTAGGATTAAATATATAATATTTTTAAATTAAATTTTATTATTGACATAATGTTTTAATTTAGTGGTTTTCCGCTCGGAGAGTGTGCCCTCCAAGGAGTCTTAATACAATTTCAGGGGAGGCATGAACATTTTTAAAAAGCAACGAAATATGATAACGTTATTTTTAATTATTTTAATATTTAATTGAGATATTATTAAGTCACAAATTACGAGAACTAAGCAGTGCCAACTCTCATTAATTTGTATTTACTTAATAATAATAAATTTAAAATTCAATATTTAATAAAGTGAACATAATATAATTTGTTTTAATAATTTTAAATTTCAATTATATTTTTTCCTAAAAAATAAAGTCATTAAATATTAAAAAAAAAAACTTGATTGATTTTTATATTATCATATTAATCCAATAATTAACATTTAAGGTATGATGTATACATTAAAATGTATAAATATATATATGATATAAATATAAATTAAATCTTATTATGATGAGAGGAGGAGGCATGGCATTATAATTATGAAAGAGGACATTTATCTCAAAAGGTTGAGAATCCTTGTTTTAATTCAACACAAGAATTTATCAAATATTAACAACCCATTTACATGTTGTTCATATTCATATTATTTTGTAGTTAGTTGCTTCTTATTATTATGATATTATGACTGTCTTAGTTTTCAAACACTAACTTCATACTATATATTTATAAAAAAAATTGCTGTGAGTTTGTGAGTAGTTTTTTTTTTATTAGAGAAAAGCAAAATAATTTATGAAACGAAATGCATTTAAGTGTTTCTGTTTAGTAAGCATATTTAAAACAATTAATTTAACAGTTATGGTTTTTTTTTTATTATTATTATTATTATTATTATATAAACTGTAGCAGTTGCAATAATATTTTTACTATACCAATTTTTGTTGAAAATACTAACTGACAGTCTCATTTTAAGTGGATTATTCGAATTGATAAACAGAATCTTGCTTATGATATAAAAAAATAATCATTTATTTTAAACTACTGAATAATATTTTTTAACAATAAAATTAATTAAAGATTCAATTTTTTAATACTTCTTTAGTAAGTTGTTAAAACTACTATTTTTATATTATTTTAAATGATATTAAATTTATTTAAAATGGTTTAGGTTATTTATTATTATCATTTGCATATATGTTAATTTATTCATAATAATTTATTTTAGTAATACGTTAATTTCTCAATTCAGTTTCTACTCAAATTCCAAGCTATTAAAATTGTAACAATATTAACAAATATATATTTTGAATAACTTTTTCAAACTTTGTTTTTACAAAATATGATATTTTGTAAAAACTTACATTGACTAAATGTATTAGTTAAAAAGATAAAAACCATTATAAATAATAAAATATTTATTTATCTTTAATAAAATAAATATGATAAATTGTTTTTGAAATCTTAAAGTATTATACTTTATATTTCAATAATTATTTTGTTGTATGTGCAGCTCTATGTGATTTCTATTTATTCTATTAAAGTTTCTTATCTAAGTTTTATAAAATTGAATACAATTTAATCCTAGTTAATTTTTTCAGACTGTGTCACTTGGTGAAGTATTGAGCCCATTAATAATGATGCTCGTATTAAGTATTGTTCATTCTCAAATTGTTTCTACTACTACAATTTCGAAAAAGAACTTCCTGAAAACTCCTAGATCTCATAGCCCAAGACGTGCTAAAAGAGGACATTCTACCTCAAGTAAAATTAAAAGTATATATTTTTATTTTACTATTTATTCTATTGATCATTAATGTGTAGTGACTTTAAAATAATTAAATTTGAAACTAATCAATGAATTTTTTGAAACTTTAGATTCGACTGAAATGAATGTAGAAAATTTGCAAACTTTAGTCACTGCTGATACTAATTATTTAAAACGAAGAAATAGAAAGTGAGTTTTATTTATTTATTTTTAGTTAAATTAAAAGTCAAGTTTATAAATAGAGTTAAAGTATAGTATATAAAAACGATGATTGAATGTTGTTGTTTTAAACTATTAGTTTGACATAAATGAAAATTTTGTTTCAGTGATGATGCGTCCAAAACTCATAATGTTGTATGGGATACATCACCTGTAAAAACTCGTCATTGGGTTTTGGAGTCTTCACCTGATGTTAATGTTTCAATAGTTTCCGAAGATTTTAGTTCAGATTTACGTTTAGTCAATAGAGAAGAGAAAAAACAATTAGGAGGAGTGTATGTAGCATTTAATAATTAGAACAATTTTATTTTGCCACTAACAGTGGTGCCGAAGTCCATACTGAGGAGGGTCTTGGCTTGACCACTTTTTCTAAAATTTTGCTTGGGGACTGCATGGTAGCCTATATAAGTCTACAAAAAAAACTATAAAAGTTCAGGCTATGAACTCTATTATGTTTTGAATGATCAACTACATTTTTAAGACTTTGGTGCCATTGGTCACTTATATAAGACAATGACAAGGTGGCTGAATAGTTTTCGTTTGTTTCAGTGATACAGCTTAATCTAACTCGTGTGACGTTTTGATTGGTCCATCACCTTTTGACTGTGCTACAAATATGGCAGAGTAGCTGTGTTAATAATAAATCATACCCATATCAACATCTGCAATGAAAAATGTTGCATTTTACTATTTCTAAGTACTCAGGGTGATAATAATTTTTTATTAATATTAATATTTTTATTCTGATTTTGGAAAAATATGACTTAAAGTATTTAAGCAGATTTGTTTTTACTAAACATCATTATTTTAAACTTTTCTGTAAAGTAAAATTTATGTAAATAATAACAAATTAAATGAATTAAATTAAATTAACTTTTTTCGTTGCTGATATTGATATGGTTGTATGGTCGTCGTCTTATATTAGAGCATTACTGTATCATTAATATTTATTTTTTGAGATTTAATTTTTTTTCTTATAGTGACCGTATGGATGTAAGACCTATTACTTCAAATTCAGCTCATGATGATGATGGGTTTGAAAGTTTAAATGGTAATGGTTCCAGTGACAACCCTGAAGAAGATATTTTAAGTGGTTCTACTATTACATCTCAAATGTCTGAGTCCACCAGTGCTGAACAATCTAGTAGTACTCCTAAACACAGTAATTTCACTGAAAAAATTGAATCTAATGTAATATTAGTATCGAAATCAACCACGGATGATGGCCTAGCTACTACTAAAACTGTGTCCGGTCAAAAGAGATGCTTAAGGTTTAAAAAAACTCCAATTTCCATGAAATCTTCCACTGTTGATTTAGACCGTAGGCTTTCAGGTATAATAAAATATAAAAGTTATTATTAAAGAAAATGTAATTTAATAATTATTTATTTTTTAGCTTTTCAAACCTCGAGTTGTTTTAAGTATGCCGTTAATTCAGAATCTGAAGATAGCGAACAAGAAATAGAAAATGAAAATCCAACATGTCCTAAAGTAAATTTTAACAGCTTATATATATATTAACAATAAAAGCAAGTAAATATAATATTTATGGGTTTTTTTTAGCGCTTAATTGTACGGCGTGGCCACCGTTTGCAATTACTTCAAAAGACAAATTCTGATGATGATGAAGGTGATAATGTTGACAGCTCTTCAAGTCGACAAACGGATGAAGAAGGAGATGTATTATCTTCAAATGGAGGTAGTGCTTGTCCTCTATCTATGTTGACCGAAGGTACAACTAGTGCTGGAGAATGGATTGGTCTTACTACAAATACTGAAGAAGGATCTTCTACTTCAGATATGGATGCTGAGCAAACTAATTTGTTAAGTGATAATCAAGATCATCCATTTTTGTGGGAATTTGAAACTGTAAGTTTATTTTTGTTCTTAATTAATAATTAATAATTTAATTAACTGAATAATAAAAAAAAAAAATGTATGTTTCATCCATAGACACCTACTGTCATCCTTAGCCCAAGTTGTGCTGCATCAGATCGAGGTAAAGTTAATTGTTATTTTATTGCCTTATTTACCTAAGATATCAAAAAATATTGAAATTATAGTTTTAGATAATAAAAATAAATATATAAAATATTTTATTATTTTTCATCAGATAACTTTTTTTAATTAATTATCGATAACTAATATTTTTATGATCCAGTAATTTTGGTTTTGGGTGGTTATATTTTTAATTATATTTATTTTGAGTTTAGTGAGTTGTACAATGTGGGAAAAAAAAGAAGTAAAAAAGGCCGATTTATCTGTATTAGACATAAGTTCTGCAATCATTGCTAGAGTAGAAGAGATTCCTGAACAAATGGATTACTTTTACTTAGGTAAGTATTCAAATTACATTGAAACTACTTTTACAATTTCACAAAAAAATTTTTTTTTAGGTGTTTTCTTATCTGTGATAATTGCCCTCATGCCATCAGCTTATAGATTACTTAATAGCTTGACAGAGGACAAACCTTTACCTACCTTAGCTATAACTGTGAATGAACCTACCGAATATATGTATAAACAGTATTTGTCTGCATTTTTCATTATTATTAATGCTTCCTTTGCACCTAATGGCTGGTAAGTATTAACAAATTTAAAACAATATTTTATATTTAATTGATTTTTGTAATAAATTTTATTCTTTGCAGGGAAAGATATATTGTGCTTACAACTTTAATAGAACGATTTTTTTTATCTCTAATGTTTTTCTTCCTATTAACTGTAGCAGAGCGTACTTATAAACAGCGATTCTTATATGCAAAATTCTTTTCTCATCTTACATCATTCAGGAGAGCTAGAAAATCAAAATTGCCTCATTTTAGACTAAATAAAGTACGAAATATCAAAACTTGGCTTTCAATTCGCTCTTATTTAAAAGTATGTTAATTATATATATTATAGTTGTGTGTAATAAATAAATTATATATATTTATGGTTTTTTCTAGAAACGTGGACCTCAAAGATCAGTGGATGTTATTGTATCATCATCTTTTTACATATCATCATTATTTTTAGCTATTTTAAGTGTAGAGTTGCTAAAGGTAAATAAAATATTTTTAATAAAAACAAATTATACTAATTTTATTCATTTTTATTTTAATGTAGGATACATTTTCATTGAGTTCTGAGTTTCACCTAGAATCATCAGCTTGGTGTATGGTACTAGGAATTTATCTTTTACGATTTTTGACTCTGGGTACAAAAATAAATAAAAAATACAGAAATTTATCCACACTAATTACAGAACAGGTAAATGTTAGCTATAGTTAAATGTTTGATTTTCAATTCTTGTTTAAAGACAAATAATTTGAAATTTATCTTTTATTTGTTACTTATTAATATTCTATTACATTAAATAAATTTATTTTTCATATGTTATAATGTTTTGGTATTTTATTTTCTTAAATTCAAAAACACTTATTGTATTCTCTGGTTTTAGATCAATTTATATTTGCAAATTGAACAAAAGCCTAACAAGAAAGATGATTTAATGGTAGCAAATAGTGTCCTAAAACTAGCTGCAGATTTATTGAAGGTATTAGATTTATTAGTATAGATTTTTATGTTATACTTTTACAAATTTATAGGAAAGTAGAATAATGCTTCAGTATAACCAAACGTACCACAGATCATCATTTTTTATATTAACAATAGTAAATAAATATACACAGGCAGGATAATAATATGTAATGATATTAAGCAATAGCAAATAATTTCAGGGCAGTTAGTATTATATAACTCTAATATAATACAGGGTGGGGCACTAAAATGGCCGATTTCCAAAGATAAATTTTCTCATTAGTTATTAAAATAAAAATTCTCTCTAAATATTATTAGTTGTAAGACATCATGCCATTTAGTAAACATGGAACAGTGGAGTGATGAACAACGTGCTTATGCGATAAAATCATTATACAAAAATAATGACAGTTACGTAGTTGCGCAGCGTTCATTTCGTCTTCAATTCAATCTTAAACGCCATGATTCGGCACCATCGGCAAGGCTATTTAAATATGGATAACCAACTTTGAAGACACGGGTTTAGCATTAAAAAATATATGCCCGTAAAAAAAAGCATTCATAACATCACTGCTGTTAAGACCGCTCTCATAAGGAGTCCGAAATGTTCTGCACAAAACATATGTTTTTTTTAAAACTTGTTCAGTAGAAGTCTAGGTCGGATTTTACACAGCGACGTGTTTTTTTTCGTACAGGCTTCTTTTTTAATGTTGAACCCGACTCTTAAAAGTTGGTTACCCATATTTGAATAGCCATGCCGATAGTACTGAATCATGGCGTTCAAGATTAAAATGGATACGAACAAATGAACGCTGTGCAGCTACGCAACTGTTATTGTTTTTATAAAACAATTTTATCGCATAAGCACTTTGTTCAGCACTCCACTGTTCCATGTTTACTAAATGGCATGTTGTCTTGCAACTAATAATATTCAGAGAGAATTTTTACTTTAATTGCTACTGAGAAAATATATCTTTGAAAATCGACCGTTTCAGTGCCCCACCCTGTAGTATTATACATATATAATATTTGTTTTAATTATATTAAAGAAATGTGTTGTTTATGTAATTGAAAATAACATACATTCTTTTGTCTATTTCTACATCTATATTATATAATATTATGATGATCACAAGAAAGCTCTTTAAGTGAATACATATTTCATAAAATATTATGTATTATTGGAACTCAGTTATATTATTATTATTAACAATAGTATCTTTTATGAATTATGCCTCCTTTTTTTTTCTTTCTATTTATGTTGTTTGATTTTCTTGTTATCATGTGTTATAAATGTTAAGCAGAAATTTATTTATTATTAGATCTATGTGCTATTGTGTACGTATTCATAATATTTTCGAATTGTATTTAATCAATTAGAATATTGTGTTTGTCCTAAGAATATTTTTAAAATATAATTATAAAAGCTATCATCACCCCATTTTTACAACACAATACACGTCTATATATAATAATGTATAATTGAATACAGCAAACGAAGGAAATGCAAATAGTTTTTAATTTTAATTAATTAATTAATTAGATATTGTGTTCTTTTAAATTCGTATTTTTTACTGAGAACAAAAAAAAAAAAAAAAAATAATAATAATAATAAATATTGTTTAAACAAGTTTGGATTTTAACTGATTTAATTTAATAGAAAACTAGTGGCAAGCAGACAGTAATTATGCTAACCGCTATGTAGTCATTGTAAAACGTTGTTTTCTAATACAATATTATTCAACTGTAATAATAGTATAGTTGTGTTTAATGTTTAGTGAATAATATTTTCTGAAAGAACCGTGCAATTCACTTCTTGTTTGTTCACACGGTAAGCATTATTTTATGTTAGAATCCATATTGAAGACAAATAAAAAAAATCAAAGAAACATTTTTAATTCATTGACTATAAGTGTAATGATAATTACTCTGCGATCATGTTTTTGTTGCTATTTTTGACTTTGTCGTTTAAAATAAAACGTTTTCTAGTTAATGCCTACATTAGTTATCTACCGTGTATATTTCCCAAACCTTGCTACTAAAAATCGGATAACATTTGATGAGTTTTACTATACTTTTTATACAGCACTCGCTATGTAGCTATTGCAGATATATAATATATATATATATATATATATAATGCAGATATATAACCTCACCTAAAGTCAAAAAATTAAAATTAAATTAAATTAATGTATAGAAGAGATTATTTGTTAGTAGTGAATGTTTAAGGATATTTACTATTCGCTTGCGGGTTCGTGTTTATATTTTTCTTTTTTATTTCGTGGTGAAATGCTTAACTTGATTTTTGCTTACTGTGGACAAGTGCTTTATATTTATTGGACTCTCCATTCGATACCGATACGGTTATATTATATATATTGTGTGTGTATATATATATATAATGAAATGTAACTCATATTAGATTATCTTCCGCAGGAACTAGAGAGTCCGTTCAAGATCGCCGGTCTATCCGACAACCCGTACTTGTTCACGTTGATAAAAGTCGTGATTCTGTCTGCGTTGTCTGGCGTTCTGTCCGAGTTGCTGGGATTCAAGTTAAAATTGCACAAAATCAAAATCAAGTAGATTACGAAACGATAAAAACCACAATGAACGTGGTGATGTTGCTGAAAATGTTGAGCGACTACCGTGGTTTGTGCAGTCAGCCATCGCATTGTAATATGATTTACTCAACTGTATTCTTTATTTTGTTGACTGTGGATTTGTTTCTCATGATTAAATCATATTATAATGTATATAATAGTAATAATAACTATACTACTACTAATAACAATGTTAACTGCCATCATGTGCGTAGGATGCGTTTGGTGGCAACGCACTTCTTCCATGCATCACTCTTCCGATGGTAAGATGATGCCTATATAAATTATTATCTGCACAAAGTCTTTGTTTTGCGCAGCGGCATAGTTTGCCATAAATTATACGTAATAATGTAATATACCTTTTTTGCTCCTCGTACAATAGACTTCTCAGGTTTTACTACACAATCTATTATTTATGTTAGCAATATTTTACAAATAGTACCTAAACAATAAATGTCGTGTTCATAGGTGTAACTGTAGTTGTAACAGTAGGCATTTAGTCGTTAAATACTTGTAAACTCAGACCACATGTGTATGTATATCATGTGTGTTTATGTATAATTTATAGGTTAAAAAATTGGTAAATGTAAATCCCGTTGTATACAGAGCGGTTTACAGAGTTTAAGAAATAAAAAATAATATTGCATATATGACGTGTCATATAAGCAACACGACGACGACACGTATAACTATACTGCTGTTTTCGTGAACCGAATTTAGTTATCTCGACCATCTCCTGGTAGATCTATTTTCTCTTTTATTAAATTTTTTTCCGAGATCAAATTTCGATTTATTTTTATTTTTTTGTGGTACGATTTGCCGCCGTTCGAAACGTGTGTAAGCACACATCTGACTGGTTATTTCATATGGGAAATGAGACAACAGCGATATAATGTAAAGTCTTGCGTTCTTTTTCTCTGGTTGGAGGTATATAAGCGCCAAAGAGATAATAAATTTCATTGTTCGTCTTGTAGCCAAGTTATTGTAACGCATCGTGATTTGAAATTCGCATATTTGTATCATTCGCGGATAGTTACTATACACATAACATAGCGTATAAGGGTATAGACGCACGTATCGACTCAGACGCCGAGTATACCCTTGCACGTAGGTTTATTTATATATTTTACTTAGGAGTATATTGTATTGTACTTTTTTCTTTATATATTAACACTGTGATCTTTTTGTTTTTATTTAATAATTTAATACGAACGTTGTTTATTTAGTGATAAATGAACTGTCTATACAAATATATATTATGATATAATATACAAAACGGACTTGTATATTATTTTTAAAAAAAAAAAACGTGTTTTTTTTCATAATTGCATCATTATCGTTCTTTCGGCGTGTTCTCCATTGGTGTTGACGCATGCATTACAGGTTCCTCCGAAAATTGAGTCATAAATCCTATCTTAGTAACAGCTTCTATAAATTCACCCTCATACATGTCAAATTTATCAAACTCTTGTTTAATCGTACTTATGATTTTTTTTGCATTATATGAAGTGTGAGTAATGAGTATTATCTATATCAGGGGTGTCATTCTAACTTTTGAAAGGGTGGGGCAACTGATTAAATTTGCTGATTTCATAGAGCGTGGTCCGTAGGACAAGTTTGTAAAATGGTTCATTGAAATACCATGGCGTTTTAATTATACAGCCAAGTTATAATATAGTTTATATCAAGAAAATTGTATACAAGTTATTTTCATACGATTATTACTATTTTATTATGTAAATATTTGTTAACACTTTCAAATTTAATATAATATTATCATTTTTACTCTGTACTCGTTTCTGTTCAAACGTTTATGCGTGTATCGAATACGTTTGGATAACATTGAACATGAAGAAACATAGTGCAAAAATACATAGTGTTTAGAGAGTATAGTGAAAAAAAAAACGTAATAAAACCATAATTAAAAAGTCGTGTAATTACTGCAGTTGGACAACAGTAAAAAATGCAACTCGTCTACTAAACCACATTTTAGATTGTTGTAAATGCCCTAAAAACATTAAAGATGTCTTTAAATCTGATGCAACTCAATCAACTGATACAAGTTTGTGGTATACATTTTAGTTTTATTTTATAATTTTATCACAAGATAACTTAAAAACTGTTTTAAATCCGTGGATACTCACTTTCTTATTGCTAGATGTAGTTTTTTAATTACCTACTAGGTAGTAAAGTATAGGTAAAAAATTATCATTTATCCGTGAATTTAAAACTTTTTTAACGTCACTTTACACATACCTAGTAATCATTAACATATATGGTGACTAGATATCCAGATATTTAATGTAATAATTATTTATGGAAAAATGGAGTACTACCTTATGGTAGGTATATGTAGTAAGTACCTATTATTTATATTAATTATTTATCAACCCTTATTGTTTTTGAAACTTAATATACTGAAATTTCATGGTGTTAAATCTTACTGTATTTAAATCTTAACATGTAACTTTCTTGACAAACAAATTTTAACTAATAATCAACTTTAAAATTAAAAATAAAATTAATTTAATGACTAATAGGTCTTATTAATTTATCTACCTATAAAATGTAAATATATACATAAAAATTAAACATATATAAAAAAAAAAAACAATTTTTTTTTGAATTTTGAAATATTTCATAATCTCATATTTTATGAAATGTTTAAACATTAATAATTATTATATTACGTTTCAAATAAAAATCAGTTAAAATCCTTTGTGTTAAATGTTGATGACCATTGGAATGTAAATTTTTGCATATGAAAAAGCACTAATATTAAATTGAAAAGTCTTTTAATAAAAATTATAATACTCAAAATAACTTAGGTATATCAATAACGATGACATAAGATCAATTTGTTTTCGTGAAGGTGTGTTATTATGGTGACGGTACATAATTGTTTTTTAAAGAGAGAACGGAAATGTTTGACGAGATCGGAAGAATCTTTCAAAAGTATTATTTCATTATAAATAATTTCCTTACTGTTTTTGTGTATTATTATAGGCGTTGAAAACTTTTGCAGAGCATTCAATTTTCCACGAAATTATTGAAAAATTCTAAAACATGCTCCCTTATTAACAGGATCGTCCACTGTTGAATTACTTTTATCCTAAAAGATAATTTCATCAGCCGTTTAAAGTTCTCGTTACACTCGTAAGTGCTATACAATAAAGAAATAGAAATGACAAACACAAAGGTAAACGGTAATCGAAATTAAAACATAACTCTGTATAGGTATAACATTTTTGTCACACCTGTACCGAAAGTGGTTTTCGACCACGGTCGAAGCGCTGGAATCTTACATTTATCCGTCCAGCGGGCGGTAAGATGGAAATCCCATAGTGGCAGCCGGTAAAGTAGAAATCTCAAAAAGTGCGTGGTGGGAGGGAAAGTGGAAATCCCTATAACACTGTGTAGTAAAATGGAAATTTCCAAGAGCGCCGGCCCAGCACAACCAGAAACTTAAATGTATATCACGGTCCGTACAAAACAAACTTACGGTTAAATCTTATACACAAATCACAACCTCCTTGTATGACGCATGAACATTTAAACATATTTTGTTTTCACTGTTCCCACACAAGTGCGTTGGACGTTACGGATAAATTTGTTTTGCGCGATTTATATAATAATTCAAATTAGAAAATGAGATCGTTCGCGCAAGTGTCATGTTGCCGTTCAAATTATCTCATTTCGTGTTAACCGGAGCACCTGATAACGGCGTCGACGTGTGATGTTCGAGAATTTTCGATCGGCGCGTTATCGCGATACGATTATTACCGGTCCGTAGACGCCATTACTCCGGGACTCTTTTTCGCCAAAACTTTCTTTGCGAACGTCCGTCTTGTCGTTTTTCCCGTGCCACCGTCCGTGTGTTTTTGTGGTTGCGGCATGGCACGATCGTGTCGCCATCTCCGAGGACAACTTCGTGTGTGTGACGACTGTTCGAACCGTAGCTGATCCGTGTCCGCGAAGTTTTTTTCCGGTTATCGTCGTGCACGGGGAAGCCAATTATTGTAAATCGAGTCCGACGCCGTTGATCAACCGATTCTTTTGCTGGTTGTGGCGTTCGTCGCACGTGTGAACACGGTCGCGTGGGTATAACCATTCGAACGCCAGACCGTCCAAGGTATCTTCCGTTATATTTTTTAAAAATAAAACCCTTTTCTCCCACAACACATACGTTCGCTAATAGCTGAAAAAAGGAAAGCCATAGCACGGTATTAAACCTCTCGCCTACCTTCTCATAAAATAATATACAATAAACTGGCCAACTCGCTTAAAAAATACCTTTCAAAATATAAATCAGATATCCAAGAACAAAAATTATCAAATATATCCTCAGACGGCAGCATGTGGAAAGAAACAAATAAACTTCTACGGTATAAGACTAGCTTACCACCCTTAACAAAAAATGACACTACTATTGCTATAACTGATGAAGACAAAGCCGAAGTTTTCCGTCAACTCCTATCTGAAATATTTAAGCCACACCCTGATATCTTTAACTCGAGTCTCAGCGCAGAAATAACTCAGTATCTTGACTCTCTCATGCCTCTTTATCTTACCGAAAAAAGTTTTACACCAAACGAAATTAAATCTACAATACAGAAGTAATACAGAAGTACTCTTAAAAAATCACCCGGCTTCAACTTAATTACCGCTGAAGTCGCTAGGTGCCTATCGAAAAAAGCTATCCTATTCCTAACCCATTTATTTAATTCAATCTTACGTCTATCATACTTTCCACTCCTATGAAAATTCTCCAATATAATTTTAATTCCCAAACCTGACAAACCACTTGACTTACCTTCATCATACAAGCCAATAACGGTTATAACGATAACAATAACGATCCATAACGCCAATGATACCAGCATAATCCATTTGCACCATTGAGAGTACGGCTCCGAGATCGAGATCTTGAGCGGTAAGTACTTGATCTTAAGTCCGGATTACGTGAGGGACGAGTATTGATCGCTGCCACTTCACTTCTCAACGTCGCAATTTCCTGATTTATACTCAAGGTAAGCTGAGAAATTTTAAGATTCAACATGGCTTCAAGAGTGTCACTTCTCGATGTCTCTGCTATTTGAGGTAGCAAAGGACCAGATGCATCCGCGATGTTGTCTGCATGGACAGCGAGTTCTTCAAGCTTACTATTTTTAACTATTGCTAAGGCCACTTGTATACTTTTTGGTAGGCGGCCCATCCAAAGTGTCTTTAATAATGTTTCTGGAACGGAAGAGCCAGCCAGGTTTTGGAGGTGGCGTAAAAATTGTGACGGTTTACGGTCACCAATCTCAACGCGCTCCAGAAGTTGACGTGTTTTTTCCTCTTGGGAGGCACTAAGACGTTTTATTAATTCATCTTTAATTTTGACATACTTACTGTCCGAAGGCGGCGTCATAATTATATCTTTGACTTCAACTGCATATTTCGGCGGTAATGCTCCAACCACATACCCGAATTTCGTGCTGTCAGCTGTGACTCCCGCGCTGGCGAAACTACCTTCGACCATAGCAAACCAAAGTTCGGGATCTGACGAAATGAAATCCGGTATTTTGACGGCCACTGGAGCAATCGTTGCGTCTGTCTCTGCCATGACGTCGAGGTCACCAATTTGTGGAATTTAAGTAATAAAAATCACTCACAATTTAATTTAATTTAAATTAATATTATATAAATATGTATGTACAAATATCGATACGCGTTATAATTGCAGAGAAATTGCCGAATATATTGATATTTTACATCGGCCCATTTTTGTCAATGTAAGTAGTGGCCCACCGGGAAAATTCCGGTGTCCCGGTGGCCCTATACGCCCCTGTCGTCATCTCAGCGAATCGTGAAATATTTAAATTAATCTGAAATATATTTTCTTAATACATGTACTATACTTATTGATATGCTATTATTTATGCACTTATATGATTATAATGTTATAATATACCGTAGCAGAGTGTCTCGCTGCGAAGAGTTTACATAACCAAATATTTTTGTGTTAATGAAGGATACGTTTTTCTTTATCTTTTTTTTCTTAAACTCAAAGGATATTTATTCATTTTTTTTAAATATTTTGTTATAAATATTTGCAAAGACGTAGTATAATACGTTATACCGTATGCATAATATTACACTAAAACTATTCGCTTATGCATAACTGGCGGTAGCAAAACGAGCGAATGCAATTTTAATTTCTCGGCGATTACTGCACGCTTGCACCAGGATTTGATTTTGATAAAAAATAAAAAAAAACTATTATGTAATCTCTAGGACGTGCTGCTGTATATTGAGTGCCGAATATGCGATTGCGGCATGTTTTGAAAATTTACATTTCCTGCTCTTATACTCTCCTCTTCGGACGGGATACGTTTTACCACGTATAGAAAATGCAAAAATAATAAATAAAAAAAGTCCACCGAATACATTATACTAATATGTATTGTATTATCACAGTTCAAGATTTTACTCATATCTCGTTTTACACGATACCGCGTTCTCTTGCGCGTATACATTAAACGATAACAGTTATAATTAAAACAAAATAGAACTTCCATATAAAGGTCACCGAAGGGGCTGTAAATAATGACCGCTATTTAGAGCTGCCCGTCTTACAGAGGTGACCGTTAACAGAAGTTCAATTCTTCCAGGTGACCGTTATATAGAGGTTATGCTAATTTTAAAAATATAACGCATATGAATATAAGTATTAAAAAGTATATTTATGATTTACGAAATAATATAGGTACAGTTAAAAATATAAAAAAAATCTCATAAGTTTTTATAAATATGTATTAAAATTAAAAAAATTGAGTAATATGAGTTTGTTTTAAGTTCAATTGATTGTTTGAACAATTTTTTTCAAAATACATTTCTGCAGTTCTTAGATTTTTGTCGATCAAAAAAAAACTCTTCATCTTGCATATGAATTGGCAGCATATTAACTAATTATTTACCAACAATTATTTCGTTCTCAAGATCTGTGTTATCAAAATCTACAGTCAAACTTTCCAAAATAAAATCTGATTTTTTAAAACATTTCGTAATACAACTACTTGTTATTTGCTTTACAGACTGTTAAATCCACACCAAAGCGTCTAACACAATTATGCTTTTTGAAAATAGATCAGCATTTTTTACTACGTCGATATGTGATAATATTCGCCTAAGTATTATTTGTCGGTAAATATAAAATTTTGGATTATACCTTGATCTAGGGACTGACAGGGGGGCGTTGTATTTGGTGGTAAAAATACTAAGTTAATGTTTTGTAATTTGAAATCAGGATGTGATGTTGCATTATCTAAAAACAAAATTATTTTACGCTTTGGTTTTTTCATTTTTTCGTCAAATCACATTAATCACTCAGTCATTATACTTCGAGTCATCCATGTTTTTTTATTTACCTCCCAGTGTAGGTCTAAAACGTTTTATGTCCAAGTTCTTAAAGCAACGAGGTTTTTTATATTTGCCTATAATTAGTGGTTTTTCAAATTCACCTATTAAATTAACGCAAAACATGACCGTCAATCTTTAGACATTTTTCCAGAAGAACAAATTTCATTTTTAAAACTTAATGTTTGATTAAGAAGAATTTTATAAAATAATCAGGTTTCATCTGCATTACAAATATTTCGAGGCTCATAAGAAGAAATTAATTGTTTGACTTTTATAAGCCATTCGTCCACTGTTACCGTATCAACCGATTTACTCTTACAAAAGTGGTTCACTTTAAAAGAAATATTGTAGCGTGATTTAAATTTACCAAACCAACCATTTGACGCTTTAAAATTTTCACAGACAAATTCTTTATTTACTTGTAAAGCTTTTTCTTTAAGTATTGGTCCACTGATTGGAATATTTTTAGCACGAGCTGCAAAAAACCGTTCATATACAACTTCGTTGATATTTACTGATTCGGTTTTCGACGTTTTAAAGTTTTCATTCGAACGTTACCATGGGATTTCCATAATTTTAAAATCGTTTCTTTATTTTTTATTAAGTCGGTGGCTTGAGTTCTTCCTATTGCAAATTGAACTGTGAGAGTGCGTACACTCACATTTTATTTTTGGTAATAATCTAACAATTTGATTTTTTCCGCTTAAGTTAAATGTTTTCGTTTGGATGCCATTGATACGATCTAGGTATGTACTTCGAATCGTTTTCAATATACACTGAACACTAATGATAAAATACACAGTTACAGACAAGTGTTTGTCGCGTTATCGTCATCATAAATTAATTAAGCTCGTTAAGATAAACTGTCAAAAATAATTTCAAAAAATTTAACGTTTTTCCATTTTCCATTTGATATATATATTTTTAAATTTTGACCGTTAATTAGAGTTTCCGTTATAGAGAAGTATTAATGTATTTTTCCCATTACATTTGACGGGACCAAAAAAATTGACCGTTACATAGAGGTGACCGTTAACGGAAGTTTTACTAAACTTAGTAAGAATACGTCATGACAATAATACGTAATAACGGCGACGGATATTTGTATACGTGCGCTTGAGTTTTCTTTTCCATGGAAACACATATTATAATTTCGACTTGGACTGTACTAGGGATTGGCTTTTAACGCGTTTATCGTATGCGCAATTTATGTACCGCTTGTACATATATATTTACGTATATTTTAACTGAAGCTAAAAACAATTTTAATTGGTTGGTAATATCAGATTAAGGCTACGTATATTATCATATTATATGTACGACAACGAAGTTTTGTTTTAATTACTTTCGCTATGGTCGTTAAGTTAAAACGCTGTTCGATATGATAAAACGGCGCTAGCGAGGGGAAACCGATTTACCGAAAACTAATAATAATAATTATAATAAAAACAAACGGCGTCATGGTAAATTTTCTTGGTATACGCATGCTAGTGTGCTCACAAATACATGTATATGTATATATACTTGTTCATATATCCCCATCTCGGCGTATAAGACCCATAGTTATGATATTATTAATGTGCTTAAAAATGCATAAAAATGCCTTGTATTTCGCAGTGCAACGGATGTTCAATGAGGCCGGTGCGGATGGCCATAGGAGCTGCTGGCGTCTGCGAATGGCATTTAAGTTTATAATGCGATGCAAGGTTATATTATTAAGATATAGGGTGTTGTTTATGTGTGCGGTTTAGTTAGATAGTTTTTGACAGATGTATAAGTTAGTACATGAACACGGTATCATCTTGTCCTCACCGTTTTATATATATTATATATTATACATAAAAATTATGTAATTACGTTCAAAATATTTTTTAGGTTGTACGTATTTTATAATATTATATTTTATCTCCTATTACTTATTAATTATTCTTAACATGTTAAATGAGACGAATAAAATTCACATTTCGCGGGACACAAGAATATTACAACACGATGTTCATTTAAATTTTTGAACAATTTTCCCAGTTATTCATCTTGATTTTAAATATTTAGTATCATTTCCAACTATAAATGAAATTATATTTCTTGAAATGAAAAATTATCATCAATTCTGGTTATTTCTTATTTCATCGGTTATCTTTAGACTTTAATAATTTTTAAGTGGAAATCTTTGTTCAAATTATTATTTTATTTTACGTTGCAGAATAATTTATTTGAAATGACGATGTACAAATATAGATTATTGAACAATTAGTATATTATTTAAAAGCTTTTAAAGTTTAAAAATCAAAGTAGTTCCGAAATAAATTGTGTTGCTATAATCCCCGCTGCTACTTCATTTCTCTTAACGCTTTTATTTAAATAATTAATTTTTTCAGTTCGATACTTGCGTTTTTAATTTTTCCAAAGACCATTTTCCTTTTGGGTTTAAAATTAAAACGTCTGTGAATGCTTTTCAACAGTGCCATAAAACCTTTATAAAACAATTACCAATTGACGAATTTATTTTATAGTGAACATTTTTATTTGATTGTAAATGAATATTTATTTTTAACAATCCAACAATATTTTGTATTATTTTCCGCAACGTTTTCAAATTGCTCATTAATTCAGTTCTGCGTACTTCTAGTCAAGTTCTCGTTTCATACAGGTTACGCAGGCTACTCGTACTCAGTGGCGTAGCCAGGATTTTTATATGGGGGGGGGGCTAACCACTTTTTTTGGATAAGTAAGGTAAGAGAGGATATGAGAATTCACCCTTAACCCCCCCCACTATCTACCACCAAGTTTCTAAACGTAATTTAAGCATTTTAGTATAGTTTTAAAAATATTTATTAATATATAATTTATAATAATAATAATAATAATTTTGGTTTCAGTGTTCAGTCACTTGCTCCACTCTGACAGCTCCATTTTCTTTGGCAAATTTTTAGCAAATTCAGTTATTATTTCATTTTCATCGAATTGCTCTTTTTTATTTATATTAGTCATAGCTAACCCATTCAGTCTGTTTTCCGACATGGTGCTTCTTAAAAATTTTTTAAAGCGATTAAGTGCTGAAAACGTTCTTTCCGGAGTGAAAGAGGTAACTGGTAACGTGGCAAATAATTGTAAAAGTATTTTAATGTTAGGTCGAAGATTGGTGCGATGAGAGAGTGAATCAAGAGCAGAATTTGGTTTTGGAATAGTATTTTGATTCCATTG